AGGCACCGGCCTTCTACCCTACTCGTCTGCTTCTCCTTTGTGCAAACACCCCATTGCGTTTACCGCCATCTTCTTCTCCATTACTACAGTTTGTCTTCCCCTTAAAATTCCCTCCGTTTATTCTCATCGACTTTCATTTGTCTTTATTCTATTTAATGCCCTCTGACACCTTCAGCTCTCATTTTTTTCCTCTCATTCTTTCGCTTTAAAAATTTTTTTGGTGTTATCTTATTTGCCTCTTTTGAACCCTTTCTCTTTCACCCTCTTTTTTGCCGGACTCTTTTTTTTAAAGTGGTAATCTGAAAATTATTTTCTATTCTATCAGAATACATATCCATCGGTTTTGCGCCCTTTTTCCGATTTCACCGCACTGGCTTTACCCCTCATTTTATAAACCTTTTTAACCCTGTCCGTCGCTGGTTTGCTGCATATCTTCCTTCCATGCCAATTAAAATCAAATTGACAGAATTTTGGCTGATGCCAGCATGATTCAGTGTGCCTGCTCTTTTGTACTTGGCTACTGTAGAAAACCTGATCCGTAATTTTGTTAAGAATGGTACAACATAACAGGCTTTATTGATTAATCTCAAGCCGGAACCACACGTCAGTTGACGCCTATCCGTGTCCACCACGGTGGCTACACCGGTCATTATATACTGCTCCTCATTCCTTTCCTTCTCTGGTTGGCTGCTTATCTTCTATGCATGCCATTGGAACTCAGAGAGACACAGGATTGGCTGCGGCCAGGTGGTCCAACATGTCTGCGCCCTGATCCGCCGCCACTGGAGAATACCCGAGCCCTAATAGGTAAAAGACCAGTACAACAGACTAATCACAAGCCAGAGCCACGCGTCAGGCGCCTTCCATCCGAGTCGACCACGCTGGCAACGCCGCTCATTATTTACTGCATCTCATCCATGTCCTTCTCTGGTTAACTGCCTTCCTTTCCCGCATGCCATTGGATCGCAGAGAGACACGGGATTGGCTGAGGCCAGGCGGTCCAACATGTCTGCGCCCTAATCCGACGCCACACCACAACGCCACAGCAGAAATCTTAGTCCCTACCATTGGTAAAATCTTTTCGATGCATTCGTTTTTGATTGCTGTAAAAGCTAAAATAATTTTTTTCTAGGCTTTAAATTCTAATATGTATCTATGTATTCCCCCCCCCCTTTACTTGATAATTTGCGCACGTGGTATTCAGGTTTGTGTGCTGTTTTTCGTAGTGTGTTCTGTCTTGACTTCTCCTGGGTTGCTGGTAGTGCCAGGAGTTCAGTGACTGACTTTACCAAAATTCGGTGTGATTTCGCTCATTTTCCTATAATGGAATGTTCGGTTCCGTTGGAAATTTGCCTAAAACTGGCTAAACCATATCAAGGACGCCTTAAACACGCCTATTTCGTTTAACAAATAAGTCACGCCATTACTTGGCTAACGGCGTTGAATATTACTAGGGTTTGGTCTGAACTTTTGACATTTCAAATGAAAATTGTCGACTAGAAGTAAATTTCTGGATGTTGTCATGCTGACCGTGGCTGTAATTTTCGATTCGATTGAAGCGAGTGGCATTATCGTATGTAGCGAAAAGAATAAGATAGGCCTGATGATTACAATCTCAATATTAGCAACTATATTAAGCATTTACTATTTATTTTTGACTGAACTGCCAGCTAGATTTAGAGGTTTATTTTTCCGTCCAATTGATTTTATGTAGTCAACGTTATTTTATAATGAAAATATCAAAATCTGTTATTCCGCTGGTTCGTGTGCTTTTCCTCGATTTGGTTATTTTTAATGCTTGAATGAAAATGACTTTGTTAACAGCACTTTCTGTTTCCACATTTTCTTCAGGCATTAATGTGTATTCCAAATAACATTGGGCTTCATTACCTGCATACTATTCGCACACGATTCCAAATAAAAGTAGCTTCCATTAATGCGTTCATTCCTTGGCCCACTGAGTTGTAGGGAATCGTGCTGATTCACGTCGATTATCCTGGTCGTTGCATTCTCACCCATACTGACCTCCTTTTCGCGGAGTCCATTTTGCTCATGTGGAACCTCCTGTTCATACTCCCCTCTGCGTGTACCTCCCCCACGCTACCCGCCTCATTCATCTGGATCTCACACTTAGTCAGACAGGACATTTTGCGCCCTGTCAACTCGTTCGTGCCATCTAGTGTCTTTGATCTTCGCGGGTATTAGTGTAAGGTAACCGGGCCAAATGCAACACTTGTGCAACTCAATTGGTAATTATTTGCCCCCACGCCCTAATGAAACCATCGACCTTGAAGCCTTTCGGCCCTCTTTCACATCTTGGCGTGCAATCTTTCCTCATCATCCACGACCGGCTTCGTGTCTTGATTCCGCCTCTTCGCTCAACCTGGCTTCCACTTACCTGTATCAGCCTGGCGTCATTGCGCAACCCTCGCCTACCTCAAATAAGTCTAATCTCTGGCCTCAATCACCTCTGAACGACGCCCATTCTCAAAAAGAGATCGGTATGACGTGGAATGCGACGACCGAGTTACCGAACCTGAATCACTGAGGTTTCTGCTCTGCAGTAATTTTTTGGATCGGATTTGTTAACGCCTTAAGGCCCTGTCTTTTCATAGATGTTGCTTACTGGATTTTCACACTTCTGCCGTCTTTTGCTGCCTAGTGATGGTTCCGTTGAGGCGGCACGGCCTTTTCCTGGTGCAGTCTTTCGACTCCTCACTCACCATTCGTCACCTTCGATCCATCCCCGCAGACAGACTGCGTAAACTTATCGCTGAACAGAATGACAACATGAGCAATCGAATCGTGCCGGGTAGGGACCAACCGAGCTCCTGGTGGTTAACCCAACCCCGTGATCGATCCAAAAAGGTGGTTGGTATGCGACCTGTCAAACCACTTCCAGAACTGCGCATCAGCATGGTCCGCGAAGGCTGCACCAACAGACCCTTCTACACCATTCAGGTGCGTGCTCTTGCTCTTCGTCCTTCGCTGTTTAATTTGGGAGGAACCAACGCTAATGAGTCCAAAGCATTTGCCGGGTTCACTGAGACAAAACACGGGGAATCAGGAGCGCCAGGCTTTTTTATGTACACCACGAGGCGCACTTATACACACCCGGTTGGCGGCAACATTTATTGACATTCTGTATTTCTATTGGAACTCTTGGTTTACTTCTAGGTAAAGTCGAATCAGGCCCATGGAAAGGACCAGGGCATCGAACAAGTCGGCTCCTGGGACCCCTTCCCGAACCGTGAACACGGCGAACAGCTTGTTGGCCTCAACGTAGAGCGAATACTTTACTGGATGAGTCAGGGGGCTCAGCCTACAGAACGAGTTGCTGAGCTCCTTGGTCTCGCAGGGATCCTCCCCATCCACCCCCACTCTCTCCTTGTCGCGCACAGAGCACGGTGCGCGATGTCGCAGATGGCTAAAGCGGCCGAGTCGAAGGCCCTTGAGGAAACGCAAAGCGACGCAGATGGAGCCGACGGTGACACAAATAAGAGTCAGGAGGAGGAGGAGGACGGGGAGAAGGTGGATGATCCGTTGAAACGACCGGATGCGATTTGGCGGAAAAAGAACTCGGGTGAACATTGGTGGCGGCACGGATTAATGTAGATCTTGTGTGAGGACACTTTGTTTGTGCAGATATGGCTTGATTTACACAACATCTTTGACACATTTTTGCCTTACTTGCTCTCCAGTGTGCTTCGGTTTTGGGGTTACTTAGGTCTGGCGAAATGCTAGCACTGTAGTGGACGCCCTAAATACTCAGATGAGAATAACGAAAATCCTAGCGCTTTTGTTAGTAGTTTGTATAGAGAGAATTAGTATCTTTGGTTCCCCCAGGTGATCATTGATTCATTCCTAGGGTCAATCCTCACTATTCGCGGTTCTGAGCGGTTGGGTTTGGAGTTAAATTAGTGACCGGTGAAACTGCTTACTGCTAGGCTGTCATAATAATCGATGAATTAGTCGGTTGAGTTGGGAAGGCGCATTCAGTCGCAGATTTGGACTACGATCGTAAATAACTAACCCGTGTAAAATCAGTGTGATTACTGTACGTGACCCGAATGATTTCAAAATGGATTTCCTGGGAGGCTATGGTGTTAAGAACCGCACTGAGGCTCTGCCACTGCCTCAGTAGATCTCGTAATGCCACCTTAGATAATCATCGAACGATTTCGCTATTTAAAAGCTTCAACGCCTTTGACCCAGTGTTTTGCGCAGCATGGTCTGTTGTTACTGACGCCCTACCTAATTTCCTCTCGCCAAGGACATTTCATCCCAAGCTCTGTTCAAACGAAAATCGTGACGCTTCTTAACCTCGGTGAACGCCGAGGCCAGTGTTGTAGAAGTTGTAAAACATGAAGCGTGCGATTTGGGAAGGCAATTCCACGGAGCATTCTCTCGTCAACGATTCTGGGTGAAGCGTTTGCCCTGCCCACTGCTGTTGACACTGCCTAACCCAGGTGTAAACCTCACATCGCGTGTATGCAGTCCCTGCGTTTAATTGGCGCTAGTAAAAAAAAAGCACAGCTGCATCGAAATGTCTATATTTGGAAAAGAAACATGCTAAAATCGGTAAGACAGGCTAGAAGGGGGAGGAGGAGGAGCAGGAAGTGTTAGGCACTAGTTAAAGCGAAAAAGCGTCACCAAATAAAAACCTAATCGTGTTGATTCATGCTCGGGCTCATTGCTTGGTCGAAGGTCGCTAAAACGAGAAAACAGACGAAAGTCAAAGTGATATTGGCGTTTGGACATTGGCCTTCACACTCAATAATCGCCCTTGTCCCATTGGCTAGGCCAGTCAAAGCCCTCTTGCACGAGGTCTCGTCTTTGTACCACTTTTTTTGAAAGGCGATAACTCGTTCTTCGACAAGTTCTTGTGCTTGATTTCGTCGCCAGCATTGTAACTTGAGTCAAATGTTAACACGGAATGAAGAAACGAGCGCTTTCGATGTGCTTCGTTATTTTCATAAAGCAGAGATGTGTGAAGTTGACCGCGTTGACTGCTTAACGGTCCGACAAATTAATATATTGAGACACTTCACTGAAAAGCGATCAGAGGTCCGGTCGACCTACTGAAGAAGCCGGTGACTAGAGTCATGGACTCTAATACAACAAAATCGATAATTCATCTGCCGAAACATCCAACGAAAACTATCATGGACAATTCGCAATAAATCAGCAATGACCGCCTCGGTCTGTAGCTTGACCTGCTTCCATGGAACAAGGCGATCAACTCAAAAACCAATGAAATTGGAGAGAGAAGTGGTTAAATAAAAACAGCCAGAAGTAGCCAATCGCTGAGAGACCGTCCTCCACAAAGACGCAGCAAGACCTCACAAACCATTGGTTGGTTAGGTGGGGATTTCGCCTGAAGACTAAACTATTCACCAATCACAGCACTTGGTTCAGGTTGTTGTGGACAAAACTATGATTTATAATCGGACTATATTTTTAAAAAAATTGTCTTCATTTTGCACTTTGCGAATCATACCCCCTCCAGATTATCTGGGTTAGCTATCATCATGGAACCAGAGCCTTTGACAGTATCACGATGGTACTTCTATAGGACCTTTAAGGCGACTTATAGCTGGACGTCGAATGACCCTACATTCATTTTCAAATCACGTCGCGGGCGAAATTAAAAATTTGTCAAAAAGACCACCTCGGAGCAGATGGAGCATGGCAGGTGAGAAGTCAACCGGACAAGTCCTGACGTAGCTCCAATAATCTGGCCTCATTTTCCTTAACCTTTAGTCAACCAGATAACGTTATGTGATCATTTTTCCATCTGAAAAGTCCTCCACGAGTTCTGATTAAAGATGGACCAATGCCTACCACTCAGACGGCCTCGAAGGTGTCCGGTTTGACCGCGACGATGATGGTTGTCGTGGCTTGTCCGTGCTCATTGGTTCGTGTGCAAGTGTAGGTTCCCGAATGTGACTCCAGCAACTGACCACGAGGGATGCTAAAACCAACACAGCAAAAACGTGACGTCACCATTTCTTCATGTCGCTGAATACGAAAACACTGGAAGACCATCAAAATTGCTGCCCAATTGTTGAGAAGGGGGCTGTGCACTCACATGAAGACGCTGGTTCTCTCGTGTTGGAAGTAGCTGCCGATGGTGAGGGGTTCCTTGCCAGCAGGTGGTGCCACGCCACTGGGCGCAAAGGACCACTCAACCTCGACCTGTGGAGACGCCGAACGATCGGTGCACTGCAGCATCAACTCGTCGTTTACCGTGAAGGTCTGCTGGTCCCTGCTCGATGGCGCTGGCCCAGCTAAAATACGGACACAAACCACCACCGATTATTCTTCCGCCGCTAGTTTGGACGATCGAATGGACTGTGCTCCAGTAAATATTTAACCAACACTATTTTGACCTATCAATCACTAACAATCTTCCGGAAAAAATCGGTTGGAGGCCTCGGCAAATGGTCTTTAACTTGGCTGCTATCTTGAATTTAAACCGGTTACCTTAATCACATAATCGAAAACACAAGATACGACAGAGACGACCGTTTACTAGACAGCTCAACCTAGTTATGCTGTCGCGACGATCGGCATTGAGTAAACCCATAAAAGTACAGAACGAAACAGATGGCGCGGAGGATGGGGGAGAATGCGACGAATCACTATAAATCGTTATGGGATAGACGGATAGGACGAAGCGGCGTCCTTTGAGTGTCTATAGTGCTTATGTGATAGAGTATTGTCTGTCAATGTTAAATGTTTTTTGTAAAAGTTCCTTGCCCACCACAGGAGCCGCAGGAGTCGGCAGTTCTAAAAAACTTGAACAAGAAATGGCACGACACAATCTCGCTAAAGGTCAAATATCAAATACGACACAGTTCTTGTGGATAGAAATTTAATTGTCTTAAAACCAATCATTCATCTCCAGCAAAAAGTGACTCGAGCATTTGTTGGACAATTAGCATAGTCTGCAATTTTTAAATCGGGCTATTTTAGCCTAATTCGTAGGGCAACCGAAAATCAATCCTTGGAAGAAACTCATTCGGTTTTCAACGACCCAAACGGCCATATTCTTAACTTATTTGGAATAAAACATCTATATATTTCGCCATCGACACTGTTCAAGGACTTCATAACTAACCATCACTACTCATGACCATAACAAAGCATTTCCGTCTCGTCCAACCACAAAATATCACGCGATGCTAACAATCGGTATACCAAAGGAATGTTGTTTAGATCCCACTTGAACGTGACGTCCCATGGAAAATGACCAACCATAACCAATGCATCCCACAGCCTTTAAACCAGGGCTACATTTCCAGCGTACTTTACGACTGACTGGTGCCAGGTGGTGATAAGACACGTACCGATTCTGCTAAGTTCCAGTTCGCGAGTCCTAATCAAGTGGAACCCATAGTCCTGCAAACTGAGGTTGATGCGGCAACGATACCGACCCTCGTCTTGGTATTCCGTCGAGTCGGCCACAAAGAAGAGTTGGTCAGAGGGTGGGCTTACGGGGTCCCAGTCATCGAATTCTGCATCGAACTACACAATACAAAGACGGCCAAAAGCATTTAAGACCCTCTTCGGTGATAAAAAAAGGCAAACATTAAAAAAATGGCTTTGGCCGAAATGATCACACACTGACCTTCTCCCACACAGCCTGAACATCGCCAGCTGAGAAGTCCGGTTTGCATGACACGAGGTAATCAAAACCGGCGTCGTATATATCTTTGGCTGGTTCAGCTGTCAGTTCAAGGTGTTGTGGCTTTTCGCGTATCAGGCGGATTGACTTCAATTCAGGAGTGCCTATAAATGAACAAAAGTTGCCATCTTAGTAGTCGACCACTGAATGAACGAAGAACCAAACCATATAGGTGGTTGCAGAGTTGACTACTAACTACTACTAACAGGGATAAGCCAGTGTTCGTGGTCAGAACCCTAACCTAGGCTCAATGAACCAATGAAAGTACCTGGTAGATATTCATCTCGACTTTCATGAACTTACGGTGAACGTTGACAGCAAAGCCACGGGAGACGGTGTAGTAGGTGTCGTTCAGCTGAGCGACGCAGCGAACCTGGTAGTTGGACGATAATTGGTCTCCCTCGGAGACGACGAGGCCGTCTAATGCCAGATCCTTACTGTCCACTCCTGTGACCGTAGCTGCCAGTTCTCCTGTCTTTATGATTTCGTCCCAACCTTGCTCTGGACGGTAAATTTCCCACTTGTAGCTTAGGGGATCCACTTGACCTCCTTCGATTTCATCTACCAAAACAGGGACACGCAACGGTAAAAAAACGTCTACTTAATTTGCGTATTGTGCCAAAAAAATACAAAATAGATTCTACATTACCACAAGTCAAAAATTATTGAAATTGATCGAAATTTTCTCAAATTGTGAATCGGAAGGGTCTGCTTACTGTTGATTGAGCACCTGTGTGACGCCAGTAGCTAGTGTTGCACGATACTGGAAGATATTCAGCCAAACAACCAACCATAAGCCCCTCTAGATCTCATTTTCGGCTACCTCAACCTGTAGGACAATGTGTAAACTCAAAAACCCAGCAGAAAGCATTTTTTGTGTGAAGAACCTCACCTTCGACGTAGCATGACAGCGTTGTCTTGGAGTTTTCCAATGCGTAGACCGCTGTGCGCGAGTCCTCGTCGAAAACCTGCACACGAAGGCGCTCCTTCACGCCTACGATTAAAAGGAAAAACTAATCACAATTTCTGATTTCAATTATCATTCGAGCTTCTTTCACAAAGGTAGGAATAGTTTTTGAGGTTGTGAAAACGAATGGAAACTCGTGAACCAATCAATTTAGCGTATCAGCCATCTGGTTCAGCCAATTAATCGGACGTTGGCCCGACCAACGAAACTAAGATTTTTCAAGATTAATTTGAAACTGTGCTATGGAGAGCCTCGGACGTACGGTTAATATAAACAGTCTGTTTGGCCAGCGTTTTATCCCCATCGAAGGCGTGGCACTGGAACTCGGCAAGGTCGTTGCGGAAGTCGTAGTGGTCCGAGGAGATGCGGATGGCCTGGTCGTTCACTTCACTAATAAGCAGCGTCTCCAGTTTGCCCGGTCTTACTGGGAAGAGTTCTGCTGGAATCGGCACATCTCCGGGGATCTCGGGGCGCCGGTAGAACCAGGAAAGTTGGGGAATAGGCCTTCCAGACTCAGACAGTCTCGGGCTGACTCCTTCCGCAAACTCGGCTATACAGTCCAACTAGAAGCGCGAGAGGGTGTGTAAAATCTTCCTCCCTTTCAGATTACAGCATAAGGTGCGATTTCGCTTATACGCAAATACTTAAAACTGAATGTAACTTAAGTATCTCAGACAGATGTTGAATGATTAAAAAGAAGACGGTTTATTAATTCAAGCACTTTATTCTTCGAACTAATAACTTGCCACTCTTCAAAATACCCCTCTAGGAAACTGTTTGGGACATGAGCCCTCCCAAAAACACAACTTAACACGGAGATTTGTGAATTCTAGTCACCCAGCTTTATCCACAAAATTACAAATCTACAGTCGCGCCACATAGTCGTTCGCACTACCAACGCATTGTTCAGTGTTAGTTACTCAAACTTTAGGTCTTCCAGGTATGTGGAAGTGAGTGCATCTGGACACACATTTCAACTGCCACTTTGACCCTAGCTAGTGCTAAAACATTTGGCTGCGACTGCAAAGCCCTCCACAAGAACTCTAGTCTTGTCTTGTTCTGTTAAGCCTTCAACGTGCCAAATTGTCGAATCCAGCTATTACCCTTGGGAATTTGCAGCCAAATGTCGGGTAAAACGGTATATTTAATGGACCTGGTAATAGCCAGACCGCAAAACAAGACCGGCTTCTCATTGGATGCCTCAGAAAAAGATTGACTGATTGCTCACCTCAAGCGGAAGATGAGGCCGTGCCATGACGATGTAACCCTCATGGATGGGGTAGATAACGCTTGAATCAGACTTGACTGTCAAATTGAATCCATAGTCTACAGATAGATAAGAGAATAGGCGTTGATAAATTCAACTGAACGACGCGATAAACGCCTTTTAGTGGGTGTGGGTGAGCACTAGTCGTGAATGCTTTCGTCGGATTGTTTTGCAATTAGACAGACGCAAGCACGGGCAACGTCGATAAAGCACCATCGATACAAGTGCTAAAATGATTTCCTATTGAAATTAGCTAGAGGTGGATAAATATTCAGATGACATAACTTGCTTTCCAGTGTCCTACGATATCTGATGAGATTACAAATCAAGTCAATCATGCTTGCAAGATGCAATAGGTTAATTGTGTGTCCTTCCCAATACTCAAGGCCATCGTTGTGAGGCGATAAGACTTGAGTTTTCCAACGTGAAATTTCATCCTCTGCCTCGCCGATTCAAAACAAAAAAAGCATAACTCATACCTAGATCTCCGGTCGAGATATCGGGACGGTCGGTCGTGCCAGATCCATCTCCAGGGGGGGCTTTGAAGGCGAACCACTTGGACTGATAGTACTGGGGTCCGGCTTCGCCTTCGCGTTCCACTGCCACGCGACAGATGCCTCGAACGCCATCCGAAATTGCCGACGGTTGAATCACGGAGAGCTTGATACTGCCGTCGGAGCTTTCCTGGACACTTCTGCTAATGGAAGACGGAGCAACTGGGTAGCCCTTCCGATCGATGAAGGTCCAAGAGTAACCTTTAACACTTTGAGCAGCGCCAGAAGTATCTAATTGGAGGAAAAGAGACAGCAATGATGCTTTCAAATTCATTGCAAAAACACCGGCGGTTATGGTTTAACACACATCGAGAAGAGACAAGAAAATGGTGGCAAAGATTATAAATACATGGTATACAGCAATTACCCTTTACGACGGCTCTCAATTCAACGTTTTCGCCAGCATTCACCACGACATCGCCATTTTCATCCAAACCTTCAACTGTAACGGTGACACCTTTTCCGGTCACTAAAATGAGAAATCACAAATGGTTACCATAACAACCAAAACGAATTGATAGAAACATCACTAAGGTTCACGTAACGACAATAGACAAGTATATTTGTGTTTTTTATGGCCATACATACAGACAGTCATAAAATTCTGTTTCAAACAGTTACGAAAGTCGCATAGCTCGCACAAATATTGTTCTTGTAAAGCGTAAGCTCTTAAAACCACAGATAGCATGCTACTGGGTTGTTAAGCAACAGTTGGCAGTCTCATTGAATAAGTGTGAAAAGCAATTAAGAAGGTCACAACTCACAGTCCATGGCTGTTTCTGCTGGCCAATTAGAGCCCTCGGGCACGAGTGGGATGAGGTCAGACTTGTAGCGTTTGTGAAGTAGCCTTGCGTCCTTCCCCTCATCTTCCTTCGCTTCAACAAGCGCCGTCATTCGCAAAAGAACCTGGCGATCACCTGCCCTCAGATTCTTCACAGTGAATTTACCCGTCTTCGAATCCATCTTGATGGAGTCGGCCAGGTCGGCAGTGTGGGTGTGCAACGAATCAGGCTCCACGACCTCCCAACCGTACCCCAAAAGTGATGGCTCTGTCTTGTCGGTCAGAGGTTCGCCCGACTCTGCATCTTGAAAGGGAAAAAGAAGAGGATGCATCTCAAGCAGATAACAGTTCGTTTGACGGCCATGACAAATGCTAATCTACCATTCTGCCCCCAACTGGTCAACTGTTCAATGTATCACTACTCCAATCTGTTGTGAACCAGCACATCCAAAGTTAGATCAGCATCGGTTAGACGAAGAAGAACAAATTCGCAGGTACCTACCATTAGCGACCACACTGATTTCTGCTTCGCCTCCAACAGGAACAACGAACTGCCCATTTTCATTCAGGCCGGAGACTTTTAGGACAACTTTCCCGTCATCACCTAGAGGCAAAGAGGAAAGGAATTAGCGGTAGAAAGACAGCCCAAGTACTGTGGTTGAGAAGTTTTGAAAAAAAAGGATTAGCAGACAAGGCGACAACACGTGCCTTCATCAAACGGAATCTCCTTGACTGGTTCTTCGCCTTCACCCAGAGCGGCATCGCGGTCGGGCGAGAGGAAGACGTAGTTTGAAGTGTAGCGCCACTTGCGTCCATCCTCGGGCGAAGTGTAGACGGCTACAGCGCGTCCACGAACAGTCTGTGGGAGACGGACGTCGTAGGCGTTGTAGTTGCCACGGTCTGTGATTTCCTCGCCTCCAGCGGCAAATTCGCCCAAGTTAATTGGTCGTGACCCACTCACGTCTGTCCATTCCCAACCAATCTTGACGTGTTCTGGCGGTATCTGTTCACCCGTTTTTGTGTCTGCGTAATGATAACCCGAATAGAGGGCAATGTTGCTTGTGTTGGGTTTAAATAACTTCATTCAATTTAACTGATATAGATACCTGTCACGGTGACCAACATCTCGATGTTCTCATCAGGTCGAACCAGGAAGTCCTCGTCTCCACCAACGTTTGTCACGCTTAAGGTAATGTCTACAACAAAAATACAAATATATTCAGAAATTACATTAACAATCAATAACACTTCGACGTTACCTTCCTACGATCAGTCAACGGGAGTTACAATTAACTTTTTCAAAAACCAATTCCCAAATACTGAAAGAGTCCTTTTAGTACTGTAGTTCAAACTCTGAACCAACTGTGCGCTTTCTTCCCAAAGGTCGCTTTTAAAAGTGTAAGAAATTTATGAAAAGATGGCTCACCTGGTTTGTCAGATACCTCAGGTTCACCAGTCGGGTAGATAATGAACGTGTCGGATCGATAGCGCAGCAGCGGAGGGAACGCGGTTGGCTGTTTCACGCCCGCAACGCACCAACCGTAAATGGGTTCTGGAGATCCACTTTCGCCAGCACGATAGGAGACTTTGGTTAGATCCAAAGTGCTTCCACTGACTTCAAGCGACTCCAGACGTTCAGGAGGAATTTCACGACCATCGGCATCAACCAATCGCCACCCGTACGAAACTGTCTTTTCAGGCAGGGGAATCTTTGATTTTGTGTCTAGTTTTTTTTGGGAAAGTGAAATCGTCCAGTCAATCTCACATGGAATTTCGACGAATCGATGAAAAGGCATCGTCAGTAAACTTACTCATCGCCGTGCAGGTTAGCGAAACATTATTTCCCGGCATTACCAATTTTCCACCATCAGCATCTATTCCAGTCACAACCACGGATATGGCATTGTCGTCCGCTATAAAGACCCAGCAACAGATAATACTACAGAACAGATTCTGGATAACGCATTAAATCAATGTCGTTATTCGATGTCAATAAGATAGATCTTAAATTTGAGACGTCTAGATCGAGCAAACATGCCAACGCTTGACGTTCTTCCTTTACGCTTACACATGAAAAACACCAGTGCATATTTTAGGGGTTAAAGTGAATCTGGTAAACTCACGACCGTCACTACACGAGCATGACTGATCCCCATGTCTACTCACCATCTGCAGACCCCCTACTGAGCCACGCTGCCGCATCTCTGTGTCTGAAATCGCTGAAAACCAATATTTACCCTAAACCATTCCTGCATGTATAAACAAACCCCGTCAACCCCCTATGTTAGCGCCCAAATCAAGTTAACAGGTGTGAATATGACCCTTCAAGTCGAGACCTACCATAGTAGCTGGGGATCTCCCCAGCAGTGGTGACGCTTCCAGGAATCCTCTTGGCGCCTATTGAAATCGGGAAGTAAGCGGACCTGTAGCGCTGTCCGTCCAGACGAACCGTGCATCGACCGTGAAGTCGCCTTCCAACTGTCGATCGAAGTCCGTGCAGACGCAGTCGGCTGGCAGCACTAGCGTCTGGCGCATCGACACCCTGGGCAGTCTGCGTCACAATCACCTGACCTGACACCAATTCGTTGAGGTTTACCTAGAGAGGCCAGAACACAGGTATGGCATCAGCGTTTCGTGTTGTGATAACCAGAATTCCCCCATCGAGTTAGTTTGCACTTAAAAACTACAATTCTACCTCCTCTCCGGTCGTTTGGTCCCGAATTTCCCAACCGAAGCGCGGAGACACTCCGTCTTCAGGGCTACCAACCTTCAGTTGCTCCTGTGTTTTTGTGTCTACAAAGCCAAGTGAGGCAAAATGTGGCTAAGGGTGCAAATCAAGTGAAAAGGGATGTCTAATGCACGCTTGTGACTTCTAGAAATCGACTAAAACGAAGGCCAATGAAAGTGGAGGATGAAAAAACATCTGGTCCCAACTGATTGAGTGAATAGGACGATTTAGATGAATTGAAACACTCCCATTCAATCATCAATGCGAGCTGCCAAAGCGAAATTGACAATGCTACTAGAATAGTGGGTGCTTATTTATGACCAAAGTACAGCAAGATGCAGTCTGACTTAAGCAACTCACCATGAGCCACGCATGTGAGGGTCGCATTTGCACCCACGTTGCCTTCTAGTTCTCCGTCACGGTTTAGTTCGTGAATGATCACCACAACTGCGTCCTTAGGCTCTGAAAAAAAACACGTCAAAAATAACAAGTTAACATCAAAAAATCTGTGAATAAATAGACATTGCATTGACGAAAAGGGACATAAAGTAGCATATTTAGAGCCTACACAACGATCTTACTGAATGGAATCATGATAAGATTCGAAAATTTGGGTAAAATGTGAACATGGTTACAACCCCGGCAGTGGCCTGTGAAAAGAATCCATGACATTGGTTGTGCTTCGCAGGTGGGGCTCCAAGAATACTCACCAGGTCCAGGAAGCCAGGTATCAGGTAGTCCCTTCACTTTGTCTTCCTCTTCATCCTCGCGATCTTTCGGTTCTTCTGGACCGATGGAGGGTTTCGGGGCTATGTGGATGGCAAAAACGTCCGAATTCACAACCGGACCGTCCACTGCGTCACCACCGATCACCGAGGCAACACACTGACCCCGCAAACCGCCCGTGTGCTTGACTGTCGCGTGCAGCCCAGTGAGAGTCAACTTGGTTCCACTGAACTCCACCTTGTCGGCCAGTCGACTCACTTCGATTGGCTGGTTGTCTGGACCCGTGGCCAACACCCAACCGATGGAAACGCCTTCAACAATTGGCGCACCTTTCCACTTATCTGGTGTGAGATAAAATTCGGTGTTTACAGGTCGCCTTGGCGAAGCAGGAGTGATCTTTGCTTCTACCAAGAATTTCACTAACCTGTCACAACACATTCAAGAGTTCTTGTGCTGCCCGCGACGTCAGTCAATGATCCAGATGGCGAAATGCCCTGTACTTCCACCATCAAGCTCGATATATCTAAATAATAAGAAAACAGAACGTCAGGGAAAAAATGTGATGCAACCATCTGTTCAAAAGTGGTTTTACATGTGGTCTAACACAAAAGATGATGCTGTGTACCTCCATGCCTGAAAACACTCACCGATTTCGGGTTCAGGGGGGACCAGCTCGCCTTCCTTCCTCGTAACGTTGAAGCTGACAACCGGCGAGGCGTAGAACAGCGGTTTTCTTTTGGGTTTCTCCTCAACCTCACCGTCTTTTGGCGGCAATTTAGCTAGACACCGAGCCCTCGCAAATCTACTTGACTCCTGTAGACCAGAAAGTCGAAGCTCTCCGTCGATTACGTGGACTTGTTCAGCGAGCCTGCTGGTGATCAGGGGCTGGTCATCTACCGTGTGAAGGCTCCATGTGAACTTGGCTTTCTTAATCGGCTGGCCAGTGGTCATATCTGTCGAGAAAAGAGGGATAATTATTAATGGGCTTTCAAGGAAATCGGGAAGAGCGAGAAGACGAGAAAGCTTACCGATTGCCGAGCACTCGAGCGTCCTGTCGTCTCCAACGTTCGCAACCACGGTGTTATCCTCATCAAGACCATGCACGCGAATAGAAATGTTGGGGTCTGTGTTTTGAGGGATACAAATACACCTGATAAATTGTGATTTTTACAGGTTTTGTTTTAATATTCCTGAATTCCACTACACCCTTGCCCCACAGTAACTACAGACTATGCGTATTTTATAAATCTGAATGTCTGTAGTGGTCAATCTAGGAACTTGACCCTAATTAACTATGCTACTCAAGCAACCCACCTCTATCACTTCAAATTGTTAGGTTTCGAATTTGTAAATAATAATGCGACCTTGGATAATTTGGTGTTAGTTAAAGTCTGTTTAGTTTATCCTGTGGGCATGTGAATACACAGGTAATTTTGATCTTCAAAAACCATTTTTATTGTAAACCAACTCCGCGTCTTGAGAGCAGTAGGTTGTCTAAGGCGTGCATGGTGCTCGTGCTTATTTTGACGCACAAGTTTTATCCTAATTGCCATCCACAAGATTGGTATCATAATATAGACAGATGTATAATGTGTAAATAAACACAATTCCTACTGATATTGAAACCCCTCATTTTAACGTTAAAATCGATGTTCTTTTAAATAAACGAAGGACAGGACTTGAACCCGGATTGCCTTTCAATCTTGCCAACAGTGCCACGCTCACTCGCTTGCTAAGAGTGTTAAGTCACCGGTGTATAACCCGATTTGCTCAGAGAGCATAAAAATTTCGTCAGCCATAGTACCTAGGACAAATCCCTCTTAAATGTTCCTCTAGGCTTATCAGAGTCCAATCTCTACTGACTTGGAAAAACCTGTAGGCACAGGAACATTTTCAAAGTTTTGCAAAAAGAGACGCACCTGTGATAATCGGTCCTCTTGGAGCTTTGTCTTCGAAGAGAGCACCCGAGGACACGAAAGGAGAATAGTACGTCTTTCCAACAGGAACTGCTGCTGCTGCCTCTTCTGGCTCCTTAGTTACGGTAGCTTTGCAGCGCATCCGCGTCCACTGCGAGGTCCCACTAATGGCCTTGAGGTGAAGCATCGAGGCTTGAGGGTCGACTGGACTCGTGGTTTGGACAACCTCACCGGCAATGTCACCGGCGAGCGAATCCAAGGACCTTAGCTGACCGTCCACCTCAAATTCCCATTCCGTTTTGGCAGAAACAGCTTCCCCAGTCTTGGTGTCTAAAGGATTTCAAATTTAACCATTGCATGCTATGCACATGTGGTCGACAGATGTGTCGGTGATTGTAGGTCAGAATGGACATAATTCGATCCCACGCAAGTGGGGATTTTTGTAATGGACGTAAAATATCAGGTTTATTCTACAAAGTCAAAAATGTAGTGCTGTCCAATGTTTGGGACGCAAACCTCGTTTCTTCCTGCTGGTCAGATGCCCCTGATGCAAAGTGGGATTGCACAAACAATGTCAGTTGAAAGGCGCTGAAAACCGTATCGAATGAACTTACCCGTCGCTGAACAATAGAGGGTCCCTTCACCACCCCTGGTGCCCGTAAACGCACCGTCAGCAATGTCTCCGGTTACTTCAACAGCCACATCGTCATCTTCTGGAAAAAAATGCAGTTCAAGCATTTCAAAATGCATAATTTTCCCTTTATAAGCAAGTTGCTAGCAGAACGCTGCCAGTAGGATTCACGAAAGTACATAGAATATAAACTAAACCTTTTAATTGGTTAAAAGAGAGGCTTTGTTAACTCACCCATTGCCTCTTCCTTAACTCGTTTGACGGTCACCTCAAATGGCACAGACGAGTAGAAGCGTTTCCTCTTGTCGCTAAATACAATGCATTTGCCACGGATTATCACGTCCTCGACAGTTGGTCTGAGATGCGTCAAAATGAGGCTATGACCGCTCTTCTCCGCAGACATGGCCAAACGGTCGATCGACACTTCACGGCCTAGGGAGTCTGAGAAGCTCCAGGCCTGTCCTCCACTCACAGCTTGGTCGCCGGCGTTCACGTCTACAGTGTCCCAAGTGGCATCAGAGAATTATACCTCAAATTACACGTTAGACTTTGCCGAACCTTAGAAAATTTTATCAAGCTTCGACACGTTATTGATAAAGAATCCAAGTGAAGTGTGCCCGAAGTGAGTCTATCACTTATGGAAAGTGTTAATATCGATCTAGTGAAGCAACTAAAGTACCCCCGACAGAAATCTGGAAAAGAACCTCACCTCTGGCCTTGCATGTGAGAGTGACAATGGCACCGGGTTCAGCTCTGAGGTTGCCGTGTTTGTCAAGACCTTCCACTTCGACGACAACGAATTCTCCTTGAGCTGAAATCGAAGCAAAGTGAAAATTCAAAAATTGGTGACTACAGACGTCGCGCTTTCGTGTAGGTATTCCTAGAGTATGGACAGCGTAGATTTGTAAGATCAAGACATCCATATCCATGTCTGTTAGACTCACAGTCCTCGGGGACCCTTGGAAGAACTGGGCTTTCAGTGTCCCGAACCACGACGTGGAAGTACTTGGATGGGAAGCGCAACTGTTCTCTAAGTCCCTTCGCATCCTCAATGTCGACGTGCGCGAGACAACGCCCCGCCACAGCAAAGTAGCCTTGAGGGTCCTTGTGAGCCCGCAGTCCTGACATTTGAAGGACGCCGGCGTCAGTTGTCGAGATCTCGTTGGCTAAAGCACTGGGTGATAGGGGCTGACCATGATGATCGACAAATTGCCACGAGTAGTTAACCACGTACGCGCTATCCACTTGCGCTGGAATTGGAATAAGTTAAACACATAATTAGTGGACGATAAAGCACCGTTTCGCTGGCCGTACAAATTCTTATGTAATTGTTCCAGGAGAATGGATTTTTGGGTGTGCGAATAAATCAACTGCACGATAAGCCATAACTCAAACATTGTTGAGATGCGAAGGCACAGAATCTCGTTTGATCTACTCTGTGGTTGAGGCTTACATTAGGACAGTTTCCTGAAAGAGAAAGATGTCAAGAATCGTCCTACAATCGTAACCTTATAAGCATGGAATTATGAGTTCTTTTGAACTAAGATAAATCTCTGTTATTGGGTGCATTCGAATAACCAGAAATTCAGCACACAATTAACAAAGCGACATGACGTTTGGAACGCGCGCCATATCGAGAAGCATGGCTTTCCATGCGCAATTGATCTTGGGTCCAGTTTCAGCTGGCGACTCTTGCCAACCCCTCGAAACGGGTTTCATTGACATTCACAATCAGAAAATTTTTACGGAGTGTTAGGCACCGTATTTTTTTTCAAAACATTTAGCACGCGATACAATATGGTGAACATTTACTTTACAATTCAACTGATCTGGTGGGCTTAATTCATGGATTGCGGACGAGCTGGAAGCTACTCTTATTTGAACCAATCACAGCTCGCTAACCATGAAGTGCACTTGACATTGTGCTAAATTAAGAAAGAAAACTTACGTTCGGCGTGACACTGCAACGAGGCGTCCTGACCGACCATTCCATTAAGATTTCCGAGGTCGTTTAGCTCCGAGACCCAAACCTTCACGCGAGTGTCTTCAGCTGTGGAAGAAAGCACGGGGGATTTTGTGAGAGTCACAACCAAAATACTTTATGCTATGTGGAACTCAACGTACGCTGGGCGTCTTTGACTAAAGGCAGTTTCTGTCCGACCTCTTCCGGTCCGTAGGATGGTGGGACGGCGAAGATAAAGTACGGTGAAGGAAATTGTTCCTTCGTCGTTCGATCCACAACGACACAGCGACCCTTCACAGTTCCGTATTGAGCGCGGATCGCATCTATGATTAATTGGTTTCTCTTGAAGTTGACCGCTCCGGCGGAAATTTCAGTTGGGTCAACCATCCTTCCATCGATGCCACGCAGCTCCCACAGGTAGTCCACATTGTTAACCTTCTCGCCAGTTAGGGTGTCTGGAATGGTGTGGACACAAATGGTTTGCAAAATCAAGGACAGCTTTTTCTATCCAGTTCCGATTACTTAACTGAATGTGGCTCTTCGCAAACTCCAGCATGCTCAATTGATCTCGATAATGTTTAGGGTCGATTCAGATCCTCAAGGATCTAATCAGCACGCTCCGATTGGACGATTTTCAAACTCGCATCAAACTCTTATTCCACACAACCGCAAGCAGGAAGTGTTCGCATAAACCAGCCCAGGGGATTGACAAACTCACCAATAGCTTGACAGCCGAGTGTAACCGCGTCATTGGGATCCGCTGATACACGCCCTTCATCATCAAGTCCGGTCACTTGAGGCCAGTACTTTGGAACCAATTTGTCATCTAGAAAAACACGAATTTCGATTCATGAACTCACGAGTCTAGGTGGTTTGGTCTATACTATACTCACTAATGATGATTCTCACATTTTGCAACACTCACGGTTGCAAAGGTCAGAATGTCACCTTAGAAGTATCATATCCAGACATGATGGACTGGTGCAGTTTGCAAGTTAAAGGGACTTGACGCCTTTACCTCAAGTCGCCTGAAATTAGGCAACCTCAGACGTACTTGAGCATGTAGTGGACGATTAAAATGTAGGCTGCTGTATTTTTGCAATTGAGATTTGCTAGAGTTACATTCGACAAAGACTGAAAATCTTACACAATCTTAGAAAAACGATGATTACCAGGTTTTTGCGCTTCGATGTCTTCGTGTTCCATTCGGATGTCGTAGTATTTGGAAGTGTAACTAGCTCCATCCTTGAATACTCGGCAACGCACACGTGAAACCTTGCTCTCGTCAACTCTTTGATCAGATGTTCCCGTAAGAGTTAGGTATCCGTTCGGGCCTTCTTTGAAGGTCTTCACACGTTCAGGATCCATCACATCGGGCATGTAAGGGAGACCCCTTCCAAGGCTCATATCGTACTCCCAGACATAGGACACGTCAGTTTCTGGTTGCATAGACTTCGCGTCTGGAAAAGAGTAAACATCGACATTATTTTGAATGCAAAAGCTACGGTTTTGACATGCTTAACATAGCTTGGCACTTCGTGTCTCCCGGAACCGAACAAAGTACAAATACACTATCGGAGATTACTTTATCCAAAACAAGGCCGTATGGAAAGTTGGCAGATGAGAATTTCGTAATCCTAGAAGCGTTGTCGTGTTAGGAGAGAAGCAGCAGAACTGACATCTGGAGCTGCCCAATCCAAAGACTCCACGCATGGATTTATGGGGTTTTAATTGTCAAAATGCGAAACTGATGACAAAAAGACGGTTATTGTCACAAACTCACCAACGGCAAAGCAGCGAAGAATCTTGTCTCCTGGAGGTAGTCGTATGGCCCCAAGTGCGTCATCTGCACCCTCCACGTGAACAATGAGTTTGCCGTCACCTGAAACAAATCCGAAATAGACCTAACACCCGAAAAGTTGTTCATTACTCAGGTTTGATGTGAAAAAAAATCCCCCCTGATTTGCATTACTTGAATTTGTGTCCGGCTATTCAAGACGAAAAGTAAATTGCCTAACTGACTCTCACACACATCCATCTTTGGAGGTCACACGAAACCGACCACCCGACTTGATGCGTGATTTATGAGCGCTACCGATTCTACAAGCAACACGAAAAAAGGCTTTCGCGTTTCAACCGACCTTCGACAATTTCATCCGGACGCTTTGGCGTGAAGTCAAAGAGGAAGAAGGGCGAGGTGTACAATTGTCCATTGTAAACGACCTCGCAGCGTCCTTTTGATCCACCAAGTTCACCATCCATCATCTTCACGTGGTTCAAGACTATACGAGGCCCGTCATAAACAACTTCTCGGGCTATTTGGCCAGTCGAGAGGCGTTGGCCGTTCGGTCGGATTAGGCTCCAGTCGTAGGTCACTTGGCCGTCTTCGATTGGCCGGTTTGTTTTTGCATCTGTGCATTTTAGAAAATTACACACCATCAGATTTGCCCGTGTGGCTTATAAAACCATTGTGCGGTTAATTTATTCAAAGTGATGGCGTCCAAATTTGTAAATCATTTGTAAATCTTCACTTAGGTTTTACTCCTACATCAACTGGAAAGATTAAATCCACTCTGTAAATGCGCAAACTTCCAGAATTTTGATAGATTAGATTGTAGTTGTGAATGACAGATGCAACGTACTTTAAATTCGAGACCTTAATCTCCGAGGTAAACTCTACATACCTGTCGCCACGCACTCCAGCTCAGCGTTTTCACCAGGCATTTTCCTGAGTTCACCACTTGGATGTAGTCCCTTAATCTCAACTAAGACACGGTTGCCTTGCACTAAAATTAGCAAAGGTTGGGATCAGCATCGAGACTGGAAGAGCCCTACGTTAGGCACCGGAGGATGCGTGTCACTCACCATCAGGTTCCGGCTGGCCTGGAAGAGGCGCTGTCACTGTTCCATCTTGCCTGACGATCAAGAGGCCGACGAAGTCCGATGTGTAGAACCGTGGTTGCGGGACAGCTTTGTCATCGACGAGCAGTCGAGGAGCCAGTGTGGCGTAGCATCGAATTCGCATCGGGAATCGACCCGACAGCGGTGCTGACAGCCCCGACAGTCGAATACTGCCATGTGGCTCAATGTTTACCGCGTTGGCAAAGAAACTGCTGTCCACAGCACTGCCCGATGCATCCCTGAACTCCCATCCATAAACAATGGCGTACAACGCCGCTGAAATCGGCTTCCCGGTGGTGGCGTCTGGAAGGAGGACAGCCCAGTGTTTTAAATGGTTGACAAACGCTGAGAGGTGAAAATCCAAGTGTGGCAGCACTTACTCTTAACAACACAGTCAAGCTTTGCATCGCTTCCCTGGCTTGCCTTCAGTTCTCCATCTGTTGCTCCGGAGATCTCAACAATGATGCCATCTACAAGGGAGCGTGACGTCATACAAGCGATGCTAGTTTTCACTAGATAATATCTCGGTGCCTTAGACAAAGTCATTACTTGACTTCTTCAAATGAAGAAAAACAAATTGATAGATGACCATATTGTAGCAGAACTTGAATAGAAGAAAATTTACCGATTGGATGTCCGGGAACGGGTGGTTGGGAGACAGCCGGAAGTCGGTCCACGACGACAGTGAAGTATGGTGAGCTAAATTTGCGTTCCGCGTCTCCATGGGGAGCTTCAGGTTCGATAACTCTATTGGGGATGTGCAACACACAGCGTCCCTTGATACCGCGTCCCCCGAATCCCTCAGGAGCGCGAATTCCATGCAGTTCCATACTGTCGCCATCTGTCCTGATGCCTACGGCCACATTACTAGTCATTGCTGGGTCGTTGTCGAGGTAACGCCACTCCCAGCCATAGCGAACATTCTCGGTGATCTCCTCACCTGTTTCCCCCTTCACTGCTTTGCAAGTCAGTTGGACGTCATCACCGATCTGCTTGACGGAGACCTGACCCAGGTCGTTGAGACCTTCAACTTGCACTTTTACAGTTGTCTTGCCATTTGGAAGTTCCTCAGTTGGAGGTGCTAAAGAGGATTGAAAAAGGAATTTAAGGTGATGCACATGTGTACAACGTTCATGCCCCCAAAATTTCCCATGGATACAAACAGCAGGATGTGGTTTTGAGTTCAAGTAGTAAAGACCAGTTTCGTTGGATACCTGACATTCATCCTCAAAAATGGCGCACAAGGTCGACAAATATATCCTTCGGTAGGTCTTAAAACAACCAGAGAACTGATCGCAACTAGAGTTCAATAAACAGTAATTAAACCACTGTTTAGTGTTATCAATTTAACTGATAAGTGACCTTGCAACCACGAAATCTTATATAAGTTGGTTTTTAGAGATAAGGAACTTTATTATATAAGACTTTGTAAAACGTTAACACATCTGACATAGGTAGTAATAATGCATTTATACAACAAAATTTGAACAAGGTGGCATGAGAGCGACATCGCTAGAGCAAGGGTATTAAAATTGCCGTCCCCACTCTGAAATCCACAAATTTTTGTGAATTATCTGCAGGTATGTTAGATCGGTTGATTCCTCAAACAATTTCGCTTTCGCGTTATGGTTAAAGGCAAAGAAGGTTTGAAGGCCGTTCGTCTACAGCACCTTTCCAGCACCCAATCACAACCAAACTTCAATCTGGCACCACCAATGAGGGTCGCTTGAGGTTATGAACCATTTCTGATACTCTGACGAAGTTTTGATTGAATAAAACTTTATATTTTAGAAATAGCACACCCATTTTCCAAAAATCATTATGCTAAAACCTGTACCCAAACCTGTGACGATTGTCATAAGCCGCCCGACTTCGGCACGTGGACTTCACTAATGGGTTTGGATATCGCTTGATACTTGTGGGTTGGTGAATAAGGCGAGAAAGAAACGTTGCGTCCCTTACCATCTCCGTCGTCTGTGACGTGGAAGTAGAAGAAGGGGGTGCTGATTGTAGCCTTGCTATCAAGAGTGACAAGACATCGTCCGCCGGCCTTTGGTTCGTTGCGGAGATCGATAAAGATGATGGCATTGTTGCCTTGGGTAAACACCTTGTTAGCGATGCGCATTGGACTGATTCTATTCAACTCAAGATCGGCAAACTCCCAGCTTATCTTTGCGTCGGGGATGGATTCGTTGGTTTTCTCATCTACGAAAGAGACCAAATGCCGAAGGCAATTTTCGCCACGTTGTGAAGGGCACCTCTAAACCTCTAAATAACTGCTCGAGTCACTTACCAAAGGCAGCGCACGTGATGGTCGCATTTTCCCCAGGTTTTGCTATCACAAGACGATCAGGGTTGATGCCAGTTAGCTGGAAGCGAATTCGTACGTTATTATCGGACGCTTCTCCTGTAAATGTTGAATTTGGGTCCGTAGGGATTGTTTCCTCGGTTGATGGCGCCGGTGTCGTCAACGGGACAGCTTAATTGAAACAACGCTGAGTGAGTCGCCGTGGTGACTTGGATCATATTTGCAAAGTGGTCGCTTTTTAACGAGCTGCCAAAACACATTACATGGCAAAGATTGCGATGTGTATGGAAATCTGCCTTAAGCCATGACGTTGTTGACTTTATTGCCAAAAGATATATCAATTTCGGGTAATTAAAAGGCTCTTTTTCAAGGATCTTTTCATTGGAGAACAAAAGTACCCTACCCGATGAATCCAATAATCAATTAGAAAGCTCAATGAAAGCAGTTGGAAACATACAAGTACCTTCAGCACATTCACCACCGATCTGGAACAGGGAACTGAAGTATCGGGTGTCATCACCGGCCTTCCTTGAAACCACACACCTGCCGAACATGGGAGTGCTGGGCTGTCTGACGTTAGTCAGGTGAAGCGAGCTTCCCTCGGCCACGGCGGAGCTCGAAATCAAACCGGCCAATGGTAGCAATGACCCCTTGGCATCAAGAAACTCCCAACCAACGACGAATTGGTCCTCGGTTTCTGCATTGCCTACGAAGCAAATAACAACTCATTACGGTGAGTCTACTTACTGGCATACATGAAGAAATGTTAAGACTTCAACTAACCGGTTGCTTTACAGTACACAGACGCCGACTGGCCCTGTTGGAGGAGGAGGTTGCCACATGGACTTAGTCCCTCAACTGTTGGTGAAACTGGATCGAATTGTCCACAACTTGGTCTTGTGTCTGCCAAACGAAATCAGACTTGCAATGATAGTAAATCGTAGCCATTTATGAAATTGCTGCGGTTCCCCGATTCCCCAAGATTTCTCATCGCTGGTTTTGGCAAAATTTACACTAATTCCCTAACATGTGTTTTATTGCGCTTTTTATCAGGTCAAGGTCAAACTTGACTTGAATTAGTTTCACTTTTGACAACCCTCTCCGCACGTGGCTGACGTGATCAAAGCTCCCTACATGAGCTGTGGTCTTGTTCTTGTATTAGCGTGGGAAGGTCGGCGTTAGCGTCGACAAGGGATCTGGTACCGTTGTTTGAGTGGTTTTCTCTTTGTTACCGGAAAACGTAACAGAAACGTAACTGAAACTCGATGGTCGCTAAAAAGGTGACATCGACACTGTTTTACCTATTCTGGTGGTTCAAGGATAAAACCTTGTAAAGGATTTGCGGCAGCGTGAAAAATTCAAACATATGATATTACTCTACAAGTATTCCTTGAGAGTGTGGTGGAGGGAATGGTCTTGGGCTTACCTTCGACTGGCAAACCACCCTCGTCCAGTATGATCAGAGGGATATAGTCGGAGGCATATCGTGTCCTTGCCGGTGACGGTGGATCACCCTCAACTCCGTCTCTGACAGCAACAACACGAATTCGTAGAGACCCCTTTTGTGGGACCAAGGCGTCCCCTTTGAAGCCGTTCACCTTGATTTCACCCGTGCTTGCGTCAACCGAGACACTGTCTCCAAGGAGGTTAAGCGGGGCCGGACTTCCATCGGAGTAACTTGCCTCCAGACCAAACCGAACCCTTTCTGTTTCCTCCTCGCCAGTTTCGACGTCTGAAGCAGAGGAAATTGGTTTCACAAATCAACCGTTCTCTCCCGATGGTTGGTACCACGTCTCGAATAAAAGTCGCAGTTGTGGTGGAATGGGACGCATTGGATATTACACGTGTGACCAAAACTGCTACAAAGCAATGCCACTAGCGAAAACCATGGACACCTCCCTCGAGAAAAAAAACAGATTTCAGGCGCTGGGGATCCCTGTGACGACATGACATGGCTCGACATAGCACGACATCCACCAACCACAGAACGTACAATGATTTTTAGTGGAAGCAACATGATAGGCATTGATGACGTCTTAGACGTTGTGTTTTCCAAACGCAAGTGGTTTAACAATTGACAGATGAACTTTTGGCGCTCAGTTATTAAAAACTTACTAAGAAGTTTTCCCTTTAATGAGACTTCCGCTCCTTTTTGCGCAGACAAGGCATGACGATCGTCAAGTCCCTCGACTTTGACTTTGAACGGTGATGGTTCCGTTGTGTCAATATCTGGATTAAAGAGACAGATTAATCCAAACAAAACACGCTACTTATTTGAAGATGCGCTTGTGATCCAGTGTATATTAATTGCTTCTAGTGCGTATTTTTACACACAAACACCAAATTCGCTGGATGACTTCAAGCACAATTTAAAATAGCTGAGACTAACAAGATCAGACTAAATGCAGTCACAGTTATAATGATACTTTAAAGATAATACATTGAATGTTTTACTAGACTATCTAGCAAGCCACCTGCAGCGTTAACCTCCACGTACCAAACGCTTTTGTGCTGTTGAACTCAGGCTCTTTACTCGGGTCGGGCTTTACGTCGAAATCAACGAATTCGCCCGCTTTTGCTTCGCCAGCAGGAAGCGCTCCCAGATCCTTGGGTTCTCCAGCTTCAGGACTGGAGCCGTTGACGAGGACGCAGCGAGCTCGCAGTCCGGACGCGCTTTGTCGGAGACCGGTCAGTCTGATTTCCCCGGATGGCAACACCTCCACGCTTTCGGCCAGAGCGCTGGTGTCCACTGGACGGCTGTCTTTGGTGCGAATCTCCCACACATGCGTCAGACCCTCCACCTTCGTCTTTTTGAAGATATCTACAATGCCGTTGACGGTGACTACACGACCAGTGTTGAGAGTTTACAAACTATCGAAATTACCGATACGTTGTTTGCAATGACTTCAACTTCAAACAATTTGGAATTAATTTACTGCTCCTTTTCGTGGTAGTGATGTGATTTGAAGGGCTCGATCATACCAGTCAACTCTCAATAAAGTGTATTATTTGAGCTTTCTTAAGACTTCAAAATTATTTCACCGATAAAGGCAATTGAAACTTACCCTTAGCTTCACATCTGAGGGTAATCGAGTCACCTTCATCAAGTGCAACGCGATTATTATCTGCGCCTTTGACGACAACTTCGGGCTTTTCGTCTACAAGATGACAATTATCAGGTATGAGATTCCGTGGCTATATACGTTATTCCATCAACTAAACACCAAACAACTGAAAATCTAACAAAGATGCATTTGACTGACGATCCAGTGTATCCAAGCTTTCCGAATTCCGCAGATGGGTAATGAGGTTTCACACAGGCAAAAGAGAAGTGAGCATAGGTAGTCAACGTCATTCAGTTATTGTAAGAACAATTATAAAAGTAGTATGAGCACCCTACCCTTGACATCAACCGTCTCTAAAAACTTGGGTTTCCCAGCATCTTCACCATCCTTGACGGGGCTGATGACCATGAAGGGATCTGAGGGAGGGATAGCTGACTGGCCCAACTTGTCACCGTCTTCTGATGGAAGCACACGACACCTTCCAATAATGAATTCGCCATCGTTTGGACCTAGGAACTTGGTCAAGTCAACTTCCGGAATGGGTCGACTCAGAAGAATAGTGTCACCGTCGATTTCCACTTTGGAGAAGATGTGACTGGGAAGAATAACTTCGCCAGAGGAAGAGGCGAACTCCCATTGGAAGGTTCCACCCTGAATCGCTGCTCCTGTGTCAACCACTAGCGATTACAAAAGACATGCCCACAGTAAATTCAGACGACACTCAGTTTCCAACCTCTAACATTGTGAAGTTAATGATCGCTCCACGTGCACAAAATGTCTCATTAATTTTATCATACTTTACTCACGGATAGCTTTGCACTTGAACTTGCGTTCGTGCAGGGAACGCGTTGGGACGTCCTCAACCTTCAGCATAATATCGGTTTCTGAAAAGATAAACGCAAACTGTGTGCAACGCGATTATAAACCGCTTCAAATTTGTTGAAGGAACTCGCTAACGCGCAGCTAGCCGAGCTTAACTACGTAAGAATTGTGTTTAATTTTAACATGTAGAAGTCAGCGTACTCTGGTCACACTGGCCACCAATTGGGAAGTAGTAGCTGCCGTAGCGAGCGCCGTTCCCGGACTTTCGAGCGATTAGACACCGACCAAACAAGGTCGCGGGCTGCGACCGCATCCCGATGAGACGCAGCTTCGAGCCTTCCTGTTCCACCGACTTAGCGAGAGTGCCAGCTATGGAGACCTGGCTGCTACCGGGTTTAATCACCTCCCACGCGTACACCAGATTGTCGTCGTCTTCCGCGAGACCTAACGCATCAAAGAAAAGGAGATTTACCACCGAAGTTTTCGACAATTTAACTAATTACGCTTTCACAAAATTTCCGGCTGCCAATTTACCACAGACACCTTACACGAAATATTTCAATAAGAACAAAGTAAATCACTTCCTCACAGAAAAGGTAATCCCCAGGCCCCGTAAAATTGGATGCAGAACATTGGCAACAAAGCAAGATTGCTATTTGATGCGAATGGTGGTTAGACAATAAATGACATGTTATTAATTGGGAATTTTGACTTGCCTCTCGCTTTACATTTCAGCGTGACATCGTCATCTTCCTTGAATTCAAGTTTGCCGCATTTACCGAGTCCAAGAACAATGGGTTTAAGATCAGGCAGGCGAATAGCGCGTCTTCTGGTGTCTGCAGAAACGATAGAGGCGTGAATATGAAATAAATAATCACTTCAACACAAAAATTCTAACTTCCACTTGCCTGGAATCGGTTCGCCGGACTCGGTCAGTGTCTTGACAGGAATCGGCTTCGATTTAAACTTTTCCGTTTTAGCTTCTTCGTCTGGATCTGGTCGTTCCACGACAAATTGAAGGAACAGATCATCAGCGTTATTATCCAGGGTATCACCACGATAGCCTTCTATCTTCAACTCTCCAGTCTCCGATTGCACCTCCACGGTATCCGCAAGAACACCCAATGGAGCTGGGGTTTTGTCGGCGCGTTGCAGTTCAACTCCGTACGTGGCTTTCGGATCCTTGGGGAGTTCTTCGCCTGTTTCAGGGTCTACAACAGAGCAAATATGATAGATTAATTTGAAAAAAAGACGTTGATAGGAATGCGCATCAAATAAGAGTTACTCACCAACAAGTTTAACATCAAGAACTTTGCTTGATCCACGTGGAACAGATAGTTTTCCTTCATCGTCCAAACCACCAATGACGAATTTGAAGTCTTTCGGATCTTCTGGAACATGATAATCAGAGTTAGATTAATACAATGAACGCGATCATAGTCAAACTGAAGTAACTCTTGCCTGATGGGGGCTTCGGTATCCCTGGTTCTCCTTCTGGCTCCTCTTCTGCAATCATCGGCTTTACATCAAACTCAACAAAGGGGCTCTCGATTTCCTCCTTAGGATCGATAAGGCTGTCTTCTGGAGCAGGGTCCCCAGTACCCAGACCTCTGATGGTACTGACGCCGACGCACTTGGCTCGAAGACCCTCAGCGGTTTTGCGAATGCCTTGGAGGCGAAGAGCCGATCCTGAAGGCAGTGGAATTGACGTGACACTCCTAGCGAGAGCTGAAGTATCGACCGCAGATCCATCCTGATATTCAACAGCCCAGTTGACGACAATTCCTTCGAGAGGACGACGAGTATCTGGATCTGAATGACAGAAGTTAGAGAAGTAAACGCCAAGCCGAGTTAGCGAACCCTCAACGACAGGATAACTTACCCTCAACTGTGCAACTGATCACGCTGTTGTCCCCTTCGTTAAGAACCACTTTGCCGTCTTTGACTCCATCAATGCGGAACCTGAATTTCTTCTCTAAATCAATAATAGGATCATGTTTGTTTCTGAAATACAAGCAATTAAAGCTCTTTAAGCAGCATCACGCACTCGCCACTTCATCGACTGTTTCTATTTTGGAGGCACCGGTCGCGTCCCGTTCGATGAAAATTTGCGGTCCCGAAGAATACTTGTCGGAATCTAAACCATCCGGACTTTTGGGAACCTCGACGACGCACTCACCGTGCAGTTTGTTGGACCCAGTCAGGGTGGCTAGATCGACATCGTCTCTCATGCTGTCCAAAGTCAACCTGCTTCCCTCCGTCGTGACCTTGGCAAAGAGCAGGCCCGGTGGAATGACCTTTCCAGTTTCAGGTGACACAAATCGCCAGTCAAAGGTGGCATTTTCCAAGCGGGCACCGCTGAGCGAATCTTTAAATTTTGGTAAATAAAATGTGCGCGTTAGGGCTTTTTGAATCTGTTGAGAGTTTGTGTTTTCTGTGTTTGTGACAACAAATCTACCAATTGCAGAAGATTTGACGAAAGAGGAATTGACAAATCATGAAGTGCGACCAAGATATTTACGATTAACAACAAATTCGAGCATTACACGTGTTCGCAGGGCTGAAGGGGTTGTAAGTGGTCAAGAGTCATAAATTAAATGAGCGAGAAACTAAAAGAGAAGACATTGAAAAACAGCAGGCTATGCCAACTCCCGTTCAAACTTCTCAGTGTTTTTCTCTAATGGAATATAACTTTTCTGAGCAAATGGATGCCTTTTAATAGCTCTCAAGGAAGAGTACAAAGTGGTTCAGTCACCTTTGTACGACATTTTATTCATTAAGAAATGCCAACTACTGCTTACCATATGCAATGCACTCAAAAGCCTTCTCTTCAGGATTATGACGTGGAATATCCTGAACGTCAACCTTCACACGTGTTTTCGGGTCTGAAAGGATCCAAAACAGGTGTTGAAGAAGCTCGTTTTATCAAAACGTAAATACGAAGACCCACTTTACTAACCAGGTTCACATGTCGCGCCAATCTCGAAGTACTCGCTGAAGTACTTTGAGCCGTCTCCATCGGGTCGAGCGACCGCACAGCGACCAAAGACACGTTTAGTTGGTTTGAACAGTTTCAGCAGTTCCAGTTTGTTGCCCGACTGCTTTGAGAAGTCAGCAATGAAGCCAGACAGAGGCCTTTCTTCGCCATTTTCCAGACGCAACTCCCAGCCGTAGAGCAGTTTGTTCACGTCGTCAGTTGAACCTGGAAGAAACGAGGCATCGACGGTGGGCTTTACGGAACCAATAGCTACAAGCTTAGACTATGTTCACCAAAGAACTCAACTACTAAAATGTGATCAACACAACCCTCCACATCGAAGTTATCAGTGAAATTTCACCGGATAGAAATGGATTAAAATGTCAATTTGGCCCAATGAGATAGGATAAAACAATAGTACAATAGAACAAATACGATTTCCATTGGATTGTGCGTTTTGTTGTGGGGATGTATTAAAATGCAACTTACTTTTAACATCGCACACCAATATCTTCTGAGTGCCCTCTTCGATGGGTAGGTTGCCACAATCACTCAAACCGACAACCATTGGCTTCAATTCAGGCAATTTCTGTACATCCGGTCTGGGATCTAATGGAGCAAAAGGCCATTATTTAGTTGATTTTGCCAGAACAACCAGCCCTATCGGCTTGCGGTGCTAGTGACGCATTAAAGTAGCATAACCTTAAGATGGGTAATTTGACGCGATCCAAAAGTACAAACCTTCGACAGGTTCTCCGTCTTCCTGAACCAAAACGGGATAAAAGTAGGGCGACGCAAATCGTTGGCGTTTCTCTGGCTCAGTCGCAGACGACGGCTGTGTCCTCTCTGCCACAACCCTCATCCGAAGATCCTTAGCGTTGGGGTTGTGCTGATCGGCGCGGTAGCCGACCAACTTGATCTCTCCCGTTTTCCCATCGATTTCAACTGAATTCGCAATTTGGTTCAGTGGACCCGGACTTCCGTCAGCGTTGGAAACCTCCAGGCCGTAAGCAACGTCGCCTCCCTCTGGAACTTCGGCTTTCTTGTTGGTGAAAGTGTCTGCAACAATGTTACATAACAATTGCCCACACTGCCTTTGGTTAAAGAAGCAAAATGGGACTGGACTGGTTGTCAACACTCAAGACAACACAATGAGAGACTGAGTTTGTACTATCTGTGCAGGCATGTTTAATACGTAGAAAAGCAAGAATATCGATTACGAAAGTTTCTGCAAAGCGTTTCTTCTTTAATTCAACGTGGAGTATTTAACGGCACTTTCAGAGAAGTAATGACACGCTTGAGAAACGCTTCCCTTTTTTGAGTTTGCTAGAAATGTCACTTACCAATGAGCTCAGGCCTCAACACGATGTCGGAATCCTTCCTTCCAGCCAAGTTTCCACTTTCATCGAGGCCGTGGACTTGAACTCGGAATGCTTTCCTTTGATCACTGTCCGGTATTGCTACAATAAAATTCATGTCCAGATTTACTTCCTGTGTGATTAGGGTCGACCATTAACAATGATGAAACACGTACTGGAATGGAGGTCTTTTAGACTATCAAACTTAGGTCCTGGTTTATCTGGATCCCCCTCAACGACGAAATCAATGAATTCTCCAGGAAGCTGGTGCCCGGGTCTAACAAGTCCATCACGAGGGGCGTCTGGAGGAAGATCTGTCGCAGTCGTCGAGTTGGTCAGAATGCATCTCAAGCGAAGACCGTTGGCAGTGTGTCGCAATTTGGTGAGCTTCAGTTCAAACTCCGATTTATCGCTTGACGGCATTAGCTCTACCTTCTCCGCCAGGGCGCTAGTGTCTACCGGTTGGCCATCTTGCGTCTGCACTTCCCAGAAGTAGTCAAGTCCACTGAGAGAAGCTCCTGTTTGGTAGTCTAGTGAAAGAAATGGTGTAACCGTTTAAAACAGCACGTTTTCTTATTCAAAAAATAAATGAATGCCTAAAATTAATGCTCTCTTCAATGCACAACAAAATCCATGAATGTGGCCGATAAATTTATCAACATTCCATCTATGAAGTTCCCTGAAAAATGCAATTATGCAACACTCCAGAAACTAGACTAGTGAGGAATTTGTTGCATAACAAGCCCTTATACTTGCGCCGTGAACCAGTTTCATAGAAAGTAAAGTTTATACTCACCCACTGCACCACATTTCAGCGTTATTGATTCGTCTTCCTTTGCAACCACCTTGCCATCCTCGGCACCCGTTACTTGAGCCCGGGGTTTGTCCTCTGAAAAATTAACCCCGATTAAACAGCCCAACTCAAAACGATGACATTTTCAAATCACAAGCAAATTACCTTCAAGAACGTCTTTGTCTACGTAAGTCGGTTTGGGCTGTTTTTTAGTTTTAACCACACGAACCATTGGATCCGACTTGACCAATTTGAGTTCATCCTTATCCTCCGGTGAAGGCACAAGGGCGACACAGCGACCTTCGATTGTCAGATCACCGCCATCACCGAAGTATTTGGACAAGTCTACATCATCACGGAGCTTTTCAAGGACTACAGAGTCACCGTTCATTTCCACACCCTCAAAGAGATGACCAGGCAGAATAACGCTGCCATCGGAAGTCGCGAATTCCCAATTGTAGGCTGTTCCAGGGATTATGGATCCGTCAGTTCTCTCTACAAAAGACAGACAAAATCGGCTTGGCGGAGGCAAAAAATACCATCAAGTAGAGACGTTACGACGATCTTACTCGTGGCCACACAACGGAATAGACGTTGACTTGGATCTTTGCTTGGGATCTCGACAACTCGCACTTCTTCCGGCTCAGCTGAAAATTAAAAAAAACAATTGGTATTGAATTAGACTGTCTAGCAAACACAGTAACCTTTCGTTTTGTGATGAAGTTGGTTGGGTCAACTTTACTCAGGTTATTTTCTAGCTGTTAGCCAATCAGGGTAGAGTTTACGTGGGATACAGACATGAGCTGAATTCTCATTCTACCTACGACATCTCACTATTGACGTTAAAGGGTGTTTACACAAAGAAAGGCTGCTTTTTAAAGCTACTTAGATGGTGCATGGGTAAGTGGCCTTAACAAGCCGAGAACTTCATTAGTCCACAATCTCGTCTGCAACTTCATAAGTGGGTCTTCGCTCTCTACGCTTCCCAATTTCCAAATTTCTGTCTAATGGAGTGTAGTGTAAACTACCACTATCCTTGATTGCCTCGTATTTAAATTTTTTTGACTCAAGTACGCCCCCAGCGTTTGCAAGCTTCTAAATTCACATAAAAGCGAAGGTTTTCAGATTGGACAAACGCCTGACCATTTAATTTAATCTTACCTGGTTTGCATGATGGTCCTACGACAAAGTCTCGACTGTAGTATTTGGCAGAGTCGCCTGTTTTACGTGCAATCACACAACGCCCGAGCAAGACTTCGTACTCATCAGCCAACACCCTCATGCCGCTAAGATGGAGCTCGTTGTCGGAACGCACGGCAGTTTTGGCAATCACATCCATGGGAACACGTTGACCGAGGATATTCCTGAGTTCCCAGTCAAAGACCAAACCTTCTGTGTCTTCTACACCTGCAATAAGAGAAGGCAACTCACGGTCTTGTGCTTTTAGAAGCCAGTAGTATTGCACCCAACCTCAGTGTTACAGTGATTGCTTGCACAGGGGCCATATTCCCATCAGTCCTTCTTGTCTGACACAAAAAGCGAACTTCAACACAGTTAGCCAACCCAGATGGAGCACAAGCATTCCCCAAGACGGCTGACCGCTAATAAGGAATTCGTCATTGTTTACACAAATTCCCTAACCACGCCACTTAGGTGAATCAGTCACCCATGTCATCCCACTGCCAGCACTACCCTTGATAATCCGCCTTAATCCATAGGGTCAAGGTCATCCTTGACTCACATAGGTGGGCACATTCAGGCAGGTCATCCGGCATTTGACTGAGGGAGTAAATCTCAGATCATGGGGTGTTGTCTTTGTCCTGCACTATGAAGGCGGGGTCTAGCGTCAGACAAGGGATCTAGCGTACCAGTTATCTGAGCGTGTGGTTCCAGCTACAGATAAAACGTTGCCGCGAATCGTGTTTATGCACACTCCTTGACCCGGTCGTTCCAGCCTCCGACTCAGGGTTCCCCTTTTCGCAGCATGTCGCCAGCAGCACGGATCCTCAACTCCTCCTCATTCGCACTAATATTTATCTTGGATTATCCTCACACCTAGGTCTCGATGTTAGCGCATGCATGACTCACGCATCCGAGGTATAAATACACACGCGCAAACCCCACACGCGACACCAACGTGGTTGAGCTCTGAAGTAAACGGTTGCGTCCACGTCCTCTGCGATCTTTTTCTTCATTGTGGGTATCAGGGAAGCGTACTCGGGCCAGGGTTAATTCAGTGGCCCCGGTGTAGTTCCAGACCACATGGTGGGGCCCACAACAACATAACAGAAGTATGATTGATCTTTGCATTACCTTCGATAATGTCGTGTGATTGATAATCTTCACACAACGTTAACAGTTTCAGCAAATGCTTTTAAACGTGAATTGTGGAAACACCTTACCTCGGGCTCGGCAAGTCAGACGCAAGTCCTTTCCTTTTTCCAGGGCGAGTGTGTGACATTTGGTGAGACCATGCACAACAGCGATCAACGCCTCCGGTTTTTCGGCCTCCTGACGGTCCTCTAAAACGAGACAAATCAAATTGACTAGGTGAAGAACCCTTTTGTGAAATTACCTCGCTTGGTGCAGTGAGTACAGCAATGGGATCATAATTTGCGTAAAATCAACATTTGTGAATAACTTATGACGGAAAACTCTAAATGTGGTATCACAAATCCCCTTAGCCTATTTTGACGACTTGGTTATCGATTTGTGAACTTAAAAGGGATGCACATTTGCCCGTTCGCATCAGAACGTGGCTGTTACTTAAGGAAGCCGGATGAAGGAATACATTTGTGGGGATTTTGAAAAAAGTTGGATGAACAAGAACTATGGCAGAAATCATATCATGGGCCGTACCCGGCTCAGTCCTGTCGGAGACGACGACTTGAGCGAAGGGTGAGGCAAAACGTTCTTTTCTAGGATCTCCTGTCTGTCCGGGTTTCGGTTTCCACTCGTCCTCCGATTCAGTGGACATCTTTTCAACAACCACGCGCACGAACAAATCTCCAGCTTTATCCACATTTGAATCACCCCTACGAGGAATGAGTCACAATGCGTCAATAGCGTCAAGGCCTTCGCATCAATACTAGACTAAAATTACCCCAAGACTTTTGTTTTCGGCCTTGCTTCTTGACCATTGTTGGTGAATGACAAAACACTAGTGCCCGTAGACGCTAACCACCTACTGCGTGGTGCCACCAAGCATTCGGGACGGGTCTAGTACAATGAGTCTAGTAAAACGATTCTTGAAGCTACGAAGAATTCTCGGAATCTCAACTTAGCAAGATTGGAAACGTTAGTAGTGCTATAGTCGACTACATTGTGCCAAATCAACCTGTCCTCAATCAGTGCTCACGAAACTTACTTATATCCTGTGAGTTTGATTTCACCGGTCTTGGAGTCAACATGGACTTGGTTCGCCAGGTGACTCAGTGGTGCTGGCAGTCCGTCAGCGTGCTGGACTTCCACACCAGCGGCTCTCCACGCCGGGTCTGTTAGAGGCACTTCTTCGCCTGTTTCCTTATCTACAAGATGGAAGAAATTACAAGAAACGAATCGCGCAACCCCAAACACTACATTCTTGCGCCATTCCGGGTGAGAAGTCTAAGATCGCAGTAGCGCAGGTTGTGACAAATAACCATCTTTTTGGACTTTTAACAAGTTAAACTTCAGAAATCTTTACCTGCCACTAACAGACAACCATCATACAAACTCAATACCGCGATCATTTAGAGAGGTTCGGCAAAATCAGTGGTCAATCTGACGGATTTTGCCTCTGCCAAGAGGTGATTTAAAACAATTTTGCGTACCGATAATTTTCACTTTCAGAGATACATCTGAGTCTTCAGGCGCAGCCAGACGGCCAGACTCATCCAGACCCTCGATTTTCACAGTGTACCTATTCTTCTTGTCGTTTTCTGGAACTGCAGAAATTAAAAATTACAATTTGACTGGAAATTTGCGCCAATGGTAAGTCTACTACACTGACCTGTCTCGTACTCTGGCGTGCCAGTGAAAGGTGGTTTCTGTCCGGGGTCAGTAAGTTTGTCGCCGGAAAATGTAACAACATCACCGCCTTTGTCGAAGTTAATCCACGCCGGTTTCGCATCATCGGTTTTCGTTTCGTTTCGGACCAAACACTTGGCTGCCAGACCAGCGGCGGACGCTCTGAGGCCAGTCAATTTGAGCTCGAGTCCGCCTTCGGCCAGTGGAACCACCTCAACCCTGTCAGCAATCACGGAGGTGTCAACGGGGCGACCGTCCTTACGGGTGATCAGCCAATGATAGGTGAGATCCGGATTAAGTTTGGGCGATTCCAGTGTTTCTTAAGGTTATGAGGATGTTGATAAGGTGAGGTGAAAGTCCACGCCAAATGAGAGTCTTTATAACACCCAACTTACCCTCGACAGCACACTTCAAGCTGACGTCTTTGCCCTCTTCGACTTGAACTTGACCTCTATCATCACCTTTGATAGTTATGAGAGGTTTGTCGTCTAAAAGTGGAAAAAAAGATGACGAAATGAGAAAAGTTTGTATACAAGCGCAAAGGGACGATTGGTGTGACGCATTCGTGTACGCTAGGTTCTACAATAGGCAGGATACCTGCGTTCAAAAAGAAGTTTGACCAGATGAGCGTCATTTTAAAATCACGGCACTTTACCTTTCTCTTCCCGGTCAATAAATTCTGGTGTTTTGTCAGCATCTTTAGCCGCAAGAGTCATGAATGGTTCCGACGGGTAGGTAGTCATGGTTTCTGGTATGTAGGCGGCACAACGACCCTCCACAGTGGATTCACCGCCGGCTAACATCGAAAGGTCCACATCTTCACGAAGATCAGTCAAGACGATTGTCCTGCCCTCAGTCTCAACATGCTTGAACAAGTGACCGGGGAGGATCTTGTGGCCGCCAGGGGTCACGAAATACCACGTGACGGTGGCATCACCCACACGATGACCGTCGGTTGTGTCTGTTAAAGTACATGAAACCAAACACTGATATGCAGTTGAATGCTATCAACTGATAATACACAAGATATCCAGCGCTCGGCAATCACTTTCCATGCACAGTTAACACGAATGACGTCTTACCAAATGCATCGCACTGGAATTTTCGCTTGTTCGGCGATTCCCTGGGATGTTCTACAACTATCGTCTTCACTTTTCCGTCCGTTCCTACAGATATAATGTGAAATTACAAATGATGGGCTTGAATAACTTCTAGTTTGACTAAGAATAAGCGTCAAATCGCAAACTCCGGCCTCTGAAGCGCTTTTAAATCTGATTTAACGAAATCAACCCATTTGATTAGTTACATTAGTTAAATTTATAGAGAAAACTACAGGCCTTGGCATAAGAGGTGATAGATTTTTGCCTTACCTATTGACCTCAGATACGATGGTATTACCAAAATAGCCTTTTGCAGTCTTTGCCGGAATATAGATCAACGAATTAGTTGGAGAACTCCGTTTGCTAGAACACCATTGCGTTCTTTGGATGTAATTTTCGAGTGTAAATATTGAGGGTCACAAAAAATTCAGGATTGGCCAAAGCTCCATACTGTTACGTAAATTATCGAAACATGGGTTTCATCTTTGTGTTTTTTATAAACCACTTGTTTATCTGATAATAGACAACCTTTTACAATTCAGTAGAAATTGATTGACAAAATTATCCCCAAGTGTTGTAGAGTCTACAACCTTCTCCGTGGATCGGATTAAGAAACCGCAATTTGGCAAGCGAATAACAATTCAGCTAGACGCGGTGGTGGATTATTGGAGCAGAAGACGAATTGTCGATATGACAAATATTTCCAAAAAATGGCTCACCTCCTTCACCCTGAACAACAATACGGAATGGTTTGGACTCCTTACGGACCTTTCCGTCAAAGAAGGTACATCTACCCCACAACTCCTCAGGCAGGTCAGCGTGGACGCCCTGAAAGTGGAGATCTTCTCCTGCCACCTGAACAGTGTGAGCCACGTCGTCGAGAGTTTTGACCTTCTCCGTCTCCACCAGGGGACCGTCCCATTGAAGCTTCTTCAGTCTGCCGAAGGTGGCAACAACTTCGCCTGTGGCGGCATCTACAGTCGGCAAAGATGGCGCGACTTCAAAAAGATTCTTTTGCTTGAAATAAGCATGAAATTAAGGAAAACTGCAAATTTAATGAGCCAACGGATTTGAATCTGAGGTGATTCGCGTTTATACACACTCTTTAATCCGGTCGCTGCATCCTCCGACACAGGATTCCCCTTTTCACAGCATGTCGCCAGCTGCGCGGATCCTCAATCCCCCCGTCATTCACACGGATATTTATCTTGGATTATCCTCACACCTAGGTCTCGATGTCAGCGCATGTATGACACTAACGTGGTTGAGCTCGGAAGTAATCGGTTGTGTTCACGTCCTTCATGGAAGCTTAAACGGACCAGAGTTAATTCAGTGGCCCGGCGTGGTTCAAGACCACCTGCTGGGGCCCACAACAAACCCTTTGCAAATTTACCCAATAGCAAATCAGTCGGCAGTGAGGGCTATTCCCGCCAGGATTATCTCAAAACCGCCGACTTTTGTGACTCCCTGTCCACTCCACTAGTACCCAATCTGTTTACACTACCCCCTGTCTCTACCATTTCGCAGAAGCCATTATTCCGTTCACCGATAATTAGGATCTCGTCATTGTTTACTCAACTCATATAATAATGCCACTCCAGTTGATCTTCCATCCATGGCTTCACCTGTTTTAATCCCTCTTGATCCTTCAGGTCCAGATCACGTACTCAGGCGTTTGCCTGAGACATTAAGAGCTCTCTTCACGAGGTAATGTCTTTGTCCTGTTCTGGGAAGGTGGGGTTATCTCAGCGTTGGTTTTGGGTTACAAGAAAAATGTAATATGTCTCTACTACTTCGACAACAATCCGTCACTCTTTAATTCTGGCAGCAGGTCAAGACTTCAATACATTTAAATACCAAGCTCTCGTATGTTTCTGTCCTCAAACTTGGATAGGTTTTTTGTGCAACAGAAAAAGGTGGTTTGTCACCAAAGCACAACAAAACTCAGTCAAATGTTCCAAGATCGCTCAAACAATCCCCAACAGAATTGGATGCGATAGAGCGCATTTCAAAAGGGAGGGCTGTTTGCATCAAGAAAGCCGACATCAGAAGACATGGTTAATGGGAAGCGATTGATGATTGCTTAAGGTAATCTGTGTGAAAATCAAGCCTAGATACCCGGATCACCAATAGACTGCAATAGATAAACGCTTGAGATAAAAATTTTTTGGTTCTCAGGGTAGACAAAAGATGCCTTAAGGCGGAGGCGATACAAACTTAAAGGGACGCACAATCCTAATTTTAGTTTTAAACAAGAAGATCACTGAGGCTCTGAAGTCTATCACACAGGGCATGGTGCAGCGAGGGCATTCGTAACTCGACGGGCGTCATACTGCTGTTTCTTGGCTGCTTTTGTTCTGATTTAGTTCTGATTCAGTTCAGTTTCAATGAAGGGCTTCTCATCGTCACAATACTGATTTAGTTGTGAACATAAATTGCCTTTTCTATATGTGGGATGGAAAACTTTCTATTCATAACGAGATGTTTTCCATACGTAAGATGAAGCATGAAATATTTTACCACAACAGAATCAAGCAAGACTTAATCAAATTGTATTCCGAGGAGAACTCAGTAGTTGTATTCTTGAAGGTAATACAGTCTACTTCGTGAGTGAGTAGCAGCTAGCAATTTCTCGGCCCACTCACGAGTAACGCAGTCACATCTAAGAATCGAAATTGGACTTACCTGTGACCCTGCAACTCACGCGACCCTCTCCACCGGGTCGCAGATAAAGAACGCCGTAATCGTCCAGACCGAGTACCTCAACGTTGTACTCTTTCACGGGAGCTGTTGAAGGAAAGGAAAGTCGTGTAAAGGCAAGGACAGATGTGAGTTGGTTGACTTTGTTGAATAACTCGTAACCACGGAACACTGCGACACTCGTTAAAAGTGCCGAATCTACTGTCAAAAAGGCAAATTGAATCGTTGGAAATCGATGAAGTTGCGTCACTTCGTTTGCTTTTGGCGTGGTGCCTCTGTAAAGCAAACCCCTTATTCCGGAATCGGCCACAAGCACAGGCTCATGTCAAGAATATTCCTGTACTCTTTTGACAGTTGTTCAGAAACGCTGATATATCTTGTCACAAACAACGAACAGGTCATTTTGCAGACCTTGTCGTATCATCTTTTTAATATTCTCAACGTTCGCGGGTATATCGGATGTCAACAAGCAAGGTGCGCTTGTTAATTGCCATATACTATATTAACCGGAGTTCAGAACTGGCTTATAATACAGGCGTGAATAAGAAGTGAGGGACTGTCCAGAGTAAATCCTCAATGATGATACTCAAACTGGCACTACTAAAAGCCCCAATCACGTTTTAGGTAAATACCTGCAACGGTAACGGAGTCAGAGGCGATGACGTGTCCGGTTTTATCGATGGCCTCGCACGTGTAGACACCAGTCTGGGGGGCATATTGATTGAAGGCGTCAGACTGCACCGAGGCCCAGTAGTTGCGACCGCGTTCCCAGACAAGGCCGTGGATCTGGGCTAGTGCGTCCCCTGTGGAACCCTCGTCATCTCCCTGCTTGAGGCGCCAGCTCACACCGTCGGCCGGCGGTGGATAACCGTAGTACTCGCAGATTAGCTTTGTTCAATAGAAATGGGATCATCATTAGTTGCATTGGAAAAGAACTGACATTTGCTACAAGTCTAGAAGGTGACAAGGCCACAAGGTTGACAAGAGGATTTATTCTCTACATAGAATCAAACTATTAATTTAGTCCAGGAATGTGCCACTTGAGTAAAACAGACGTAAGGGTGTTGTAGTGGGGTTTAGTCAAAGCGATACAACGCAAATCGATTAATATTTACCTTTTTTGAAAATCTACAAGTGCAAATAGAATCGAAAATTGTCTCGATATCACGGGGTAGTCCATCGGAAAACAGAAATCTCACCTCAAACATCCCGCCTTCCTCTAGTTTTACTTGCTTCACACCATCGACCTCCTCAATTGGCGCATACGGGGACATGATACGAATGAGGTCCTTCGTAATGGGCACCTTTTCTCGCTCTAAAATCATAATAAATGCATTTCAAACGTGCAAATGGACAACTTATCACACTGCATTCTGCACAGCTGATTTAGCTGAAACCCTGCCTTGTAAAACAGGATCCAAATTACGTCACACGTAGCCGAGTTCGTGGAGACGTCATCGGACTGAATTTCAATCTCGAAGATGGAAGTCGTCCTCACAATTGCATGTAAAGGAGCTTTAGACACCAGCTCCTTGGATTAAGTCGTCCTGAAGCCGGCTATTCGTTCAGACGTCTGTGGTACCAAAAGGATATTGTAGCATACTCGTGTAAAGACGGCTACACGTACTCGAATCTGTGTAACGTAGTATAATCCAGGTGGATTGGATTGACGTGCCTAGTGGTCGGAAACACGCGACACTTACCATGTTTCTCCATTATGTCGTCAGGAAGGAAGAGACGTTCACTGACAGTGCGGAATTCGTTCTTCGCCTCACAGGTGTACATTCCCGCCAGTGCACGAGGTGCGAACTCGTTTGAGTCGCTCACCGACCAGGAGATTACGGCCGAATTTTCCGCAGTCTCCATCTTCACCTACTCGAGGTGAACGCAAAAGCCGAACTGGTGATGTGGGACTGGTAGTGGTACGCATTATGCCTCAATTCCAATCGGTAGATCAGTCTTATAACTAAGCTCTTCATTGTACACATTGTATACCTACCACACATTGCAGAAACTAGTGTCTGCCCACAAAGCATCCTGCCTTCTCTTATACTAAACGTAGAAATCTTTTCATTGACATCAGAATAACAAGTGAAAAGTCAGTTTTTTGCATTGGAAAATGAAAAAAAGTACCACCCTAACATGTTTTTCAGTCATTTAAATCAAATCGAGTAGAGTTCACCTCTATCAAACTAAAAAGAACGCCTGGGTAAAACTTCGTGAGTTAATAGGAGAGCTTTAATGTGTTTACCTGGGGAAGAAAACACGCTCCATCAGCGGAAGTAAATGTGACATTTCTATTCACGTGACCTATCTTAACGACCTCCACACTTAACGTGGAAGACTTAATTGGCATCCAAAGAGGTACATTTCTATGTGGAGAAACGCATGGGATCATAAAAAAAATACCAAACCTTACCGACGGAGGCAGGACTTGATCATCTTTGGACCAGGTTACAGTGGATGGCACCTTTGTGTTCGTGTCAACGCACTCAACCTTGACAGGGAAGCGTGACACCTCGGGATCAAAGGTTGGCCGAATTTCAATAACCGGGAATTTGGCAGCTAAAAAGTCACCAGAGGTAAGAAGCAGCGAGAATACTTTAATAAGTTAATTCGTTTCCACATAATTAATCGTCTACAGGGAACGTGATGGCCGCAGTGGCGTGTTAAAGGTGTGCTTAATGAATCCATCCTAATTTTAAATTATCCATGTGGCTGGCGAATTCTCGACGTAATTAACAATTGCAGCAACGCATCATTCTACCATATCTAACACTTCCCAACCAATCACGTTTATAATTTCGACATTACGGAATGGAAGTAAAAGTGCAGATACCCTATCCAGAATTATAAAATCCAGATCTAGACATTAAAAGAATAACAGGCCTATAAAAATAGAAATCAATGTTAACCGATGACTTACTCATATCAATCGGAATGACGTTGAGTTTGAACCACTCTGAGACAACGAGTTGGCCGGTTACATTCGACTTTGCCCGGCAGCGCAAGTGTGCTGTCCAGCCAGGACGACTTTTTAACTGGCCGAAGTAGACAGAGTTCTCGTGGAAAGTCATCACCGACCATGGCAGTTCAGTCTCTTTTGGAACCTCAGGTTGAATCTTGTCTGTCGATGTAGGCAACTGCGTAACCGCTCCATCCGGGCGAATTACATAGTCCCAGTCGTATGTTATCTCCCGCACTGTCTTATTACGCCAAACATCTGAAATGGGTGCCAAAATTATGACCTGTTGAGTCCTCCTTCCTACTGACTTCTCCTAAGCATGCCTACCCTTACATGTACATTTATTTCCATTGATTTTATTAGTTTCTAGAACTTGTCTGGATGTGCGGTGTGTTGAAGACTTCAGCGACACTTCTATGTTTTGTCGACAAAACACGATAATAAAGCCTAAAGTTAAGTGGAGACAGATTTGTGTTGGGCATTTACACACATCTTTGCAAGTCTTGAACCAAATTGGGAACATTTGGATCGTTTTTTCGATAAATGGATTTAGACATCGATGACAATGATGCACCTCTGCGAATAAATCACCGCAAGGATCAACTAATTAATGATACTGAGTAAGAAGAAGGAGGAGAGTGTTACCATGGGCAACACAGGTGGCTCCAACTGTGCTGAGTTCAGGTCCAGAAAGAACATCTGGTCCCGTGAGACCAACGACGTAGGCCTGAATGAGACCCTCACGGACAATGAGGCGGTGCGGAATGGAGGTGAACAACTCCTTCTTTTCTCCGAAGGGAACAACAACCCCGGCAAATATGCGGAACTCAGTGGGCCGACGTGGAAGTCCCTGGAGTTCGAGGCGGTAGGGCTTCGGCTGAGCGTAGCGCTCGGCTAGGACGCCGTCGTCCAACTTAACTGGTGCACCATTGGCCTGAGTGACGCGCCAGAAGGTCTCCAGGTCGCCAGGCAGTTCTGAGCCGTCGGGGCCTAGGAAGAGTAATACAATCCCCTAATCAGGTGTTTTCATTTCAAGTACAAAACCCAAAACACCTACTTCATCAGATATAAAGGTCTTTCAAAGGTCACCACCAAACACATTCCACGCCTTCAGCGAAAAAGGCTTAGAAATCACGGAAACTGCAATCGAGATGATGACATTTTGATGCACAACGCCTATGGATTCCATCAAAACTGCTGCACAACTAAGATAACGGAAATGGATTTAGAAGTTGTTGAAGGATCCGGCATGTGGTCCAAACCCACAAAACGGTTTAGTAAATGGCTCGATCTTGTTTTGTTGTCGTGTCCTGGTATGCCAGGACGTGCACGATTGATGAATGAGCAACGCCCAAGTGGGTGAAGCAGCGGGGGAGATACTGGGGTGGATGACAAGACGGTCCCGCAAGGCTAAAGGGGGGAGGGTTGGAAAGGGGGGCAGTGTGTTGATGGGGCCGACGACAGAGTCGATGGACGTGAATCAGCACGATTCACTACATGGTCACGTGAAGTTTTCCCCTACTAGCCTTTAACAGCCGCCAAATGGCTGGACGCCAACTTGTGGGAATTGCGTTAAATCGATGGAAGTTCTAGGGAACTTCTTACCGAAGGATTTCACATCAATCGCCATGTCCCCACCAGTCAGTCCAATCAGGTCGCCGTTGACGAGTGAGGTGCTGTTTAGATGCACGATTGCAAAGGACCTATCGGCCGGACGAACTAGAAGATGAAAAAAAATGGTGCATTAAAACGCTTGTTAGGTTTTGTGTACGTGGACATCTTAATCTAACTAGATAAATTTAAACTTCGGAACATTTTTGACGCCATACCTTCGAGAGTAACCCTGGCTGTCTTCTCGCCTTCAGGAGTGTCAATTACGAAGGCGAGGACTTTATCATCAAACGTTCGAGGCATCTCCGAGATATTAACTCGTGTCCACGAATGATCTCCATCCGAATTTACCTCTGGAACGTCTTTCGAATCATCTAGCGTCCAGGTAATCTCCCCGGTCTTCGAAGGCGAGTCGTATTCAGCGATGATCTGAAAGAATCGAAGTGTCGCACATCGGTTATCAGCTGCGGTGCTCAGAATCACAAGTATGAACTTGAAAATGGCAAGTACTACGTGAATTCAAACGACACTGTACAATTTAACATTTAATCAAAGTTGCCTACCTGTGCTGGCTGACCCTCAGTGACACCTAATCGATAGTTATCATCGCCCTCATGACTAAGAGCCTGACCAGGTGACGAAATCGTCAATTTCGGTGGCGTTGGCCTCTGTATGAGCTCCATACCTAAAAAGTACGCGGGCGAATCCATCAGCCATTGTAGAGAATTAGAACTCTCGACTTTTGGTTATCGATTAACAAACCTCCTGGAAGAACCCTCGGTCTGATTGTCACCGACTTCTCCACGGTCATTGTTGGAGACTTCGCAGTGCATGTGTACTTCCGGGAGTATTTAAACGGTCGAAATCCACCCACACGACGCCAATCCAATTCCACGAACTCCTGGCTCCGCGACGCTGGATTTTCAAGGGCCTGTAGGAACCGGGAGGAAAAAAATGCCTTTTTACCATCAGAATCCTCCGTCCAGTTTGACACTCAATTTTTCAGCCCTCGCATTGAGTCAAACCGAACTACTTGGCAAAGGACGCCTTTGAACAATGCCTCGGCGGCCTTGCCAAATTCTGGCACCGCCAACTGAGCTTTCGGTACTCTGGTGAATCGTGCTGATTCACGTCTATTAATCCGGTCGCCGCATTCTCTGACACACTGACCTCATTTTCAATGCTCTCCAATTGTTCATGCAGGGCCGTCTGTGCGTGCACCTCCCCCAACGCTAACCGTTTCATTCAAAAATGATTGCACTTTTACAGGTTAACTCCGACTGTATGGGTCTGCAATCCCATTGTGTCAGACACCTTTTTGTGTGCTCAATTAGGGCCAGCTGGCAGTCGTCGTCGTCTTGTCTCCCCGGGAATCTAATTGGATTAATAAAGCTAATTCAACACAGAAGCCCTGGACTTGCTTGAGACCACATCCCGGGACCCTCAGCAGTACTAACAGGACTGCCTAAAACCATACAAATCTCACCTTAATTTCTTGTTCAGTTAGACCGTCAGAGGTAATGGTCACGTTTGCCTTGATGTCTGGATTTCCTTCTGCACAGACAAGTCTGGTCGGAAAGATGGAATAAGGGTCATCGTATTCCGGAAGAATTATGACACGAAGATCCGGTGAATCTGAAGACAAACGCAGACAAAGACAATGAGCTTTTGGAGGAGCTTTTCATTAACTCTTAGGGCCTCTGTTGTAAATAAAAAAGTTGAGCGTCAATTAAATGCAATGGCTATTGATTGTCACAAATCTACCAATCGCAATGCTCTAGATACTTTGTGTGTGAATGGTCCAATTTACCGACTGCAGAAAAGCGTCAAGCGAGGTGTCGTAGTTAGACATTAAAGACCACCAGAATTAAACCAATCTCATACCAACGTCGAAATGAAGCGATCCAGTGAGATTTGTCGTCGGTACTGGAAGACACTCAAACTTGATGTATTTGCCGCTTGAGAGGGGGTAGTTGATGACGAATCTTGACTCGCTCTCTCGATTGACTGAATGGGAAAACAGAGATCATTTAGGTTACAAGCAAACTTTTCAGTAAGTATGTCAAGAAACCAATCCATCCAACGCAACAGCTTAGCTTCCAAAAACGATTTGAGATAATAAAAATTACCACTAGTCCTTTGCACGTGTTTGAAGTTACAGTTTCGTTGCACGTCGATCGAATCGGTTAAGCGAAAAAAGTGACTTACCTCTATCGCTAATATCCTTGCTTGTATTTAACGCCTTATCCATTAGTGTCCACTTAGGCCGAGCACAGTATACCGAGCTAGGAGTGAATCCGGTGACGTAGTAGACAAAGGCGTCGTCAGCAGTCGGCTGTGGCGGTTCCACGTCCCTCACCTCCTCCGGGCTCTCGCCAGCCGATCCAGGGGACACGGGAATCTCCTTGGGGGGTAACATGGGGGCGACGCGAATCGTAGTGTTCAACCTAACGACGTCGCCTGTCTCTGGGTTGGTGACCTCAGCCTCATACGTACCCTCGTGCTCCTCGCCCGCAGCCCAAATGACCAAGTCGCCATCTGGTGTGACTCCCATGCCTGGTAGAAACCCAGCCGGGTCTTCTACAGGCGTGGGTTCCAGGCGCCGCCACTTGATTTTCACGTTCTTCGGTTTTCCGTCGGCGAAAACAACACGAATTTTAGCGGGCTCAAGAAAAGACAGATTGAAACTTTCTTGGTTCAGTCTTATTCCTGGCATATCCTCTAAAAGAAAATAAAATCAGTTTGTGTGAGTGGATCAGTTTTTTGTCTTGATAAAAAGGTCACATTGACGAATATTAAAATGTTGCAATGTTTTAACTGAGTGGCTCTACCTATGCACAGATCATAAAAGAGGTAAAACCACTGAAAATCTTCAGTTAATATACCGGAAATGTGTTCCGGATCACTGAATTCGGACAATTCACAACGTTTTATTTGAACATCTTCTTTACATAAGCGTTTCATCAAAGGACAAAAATGTTGGCAACCATGGAAATCAAAAATGCTTATTTTCAAAGTCTGTACTTAGCATTAGACAGCAAAACACGACTGGAATTGACGTGAATGTGTACGCGATACTTACCTGGTTTCAGTGGTTCCTTGATTCTGGTGGGTGGTGGTAGGGGCACCCAAATAGGCGTGTTGATTGGGTCCTTGCCCACAAGGAAACCATTAATTTTACCATCAAGTTCGTCTACTTTGGTTAGATCGATAGGTAGGCGAACACGGAATTCCCCTGTTGTTGAATCTATCATTGGGTCGCTCAGCGGGAGCATCTGGGTTCCATTAGGAGATAGCCAGACAAGGTGGAAGTTGTCGAGACTCGTTGGCTATAAGGACAATCGGTGGACAGTTAAAAAATCCAAATAAGAAGGAGTTTGTTAAAATTTGACTTACTGGATAAACTTTGCCCTGGAGAACCGTGGCAGTGGGATCCTCGGGGTCCGTATCAGCCGTGAGGAACTCTGTTGCTGGGGGTGCATCAGGAACAGGCATTGGCACGGGAAACTCCTCATTCAAAGTGTCACCTGGTTCGCTTGGAGGCTCTTCATCTGTGGGATTTACAGAACACGAACCCAGTTAACCGTTAAAAAAGTCAATAACTAGCGGCATCAAGTCACCTAACTCGCATTACCTGGATCTCTGATGACAAGGTAGAATGGTTCAGTGAGGTTGACTCCCAAAGCCGCGACCTGGCACTCGTAGAGACCCGAGTACTCCTTCTTGGCGTTGTCAATTTGAAGTTGTGTCTCCGAGGTGATTGGCTCCCACTTGCCGGTCTCCGATTTTGGCTTAAAGGGAAGCAGCTCACGCCTGATGGAGATGTCGGTGGATCCTGCCACGTGAGCCGGCAGTCGCCAGGTGTGAACGGCAATGCCACCGCGATACGAGGTCGCACGGCAGGTGAGCGACACTCGGCTACCCGGCTCTGCCACCACGACACGACCTTCTGTGTCCATCTCAACGCCTGTAAAGCAAAAAAAGACATTTGTAACCCTAACCAGAACTAAAGGTGGGTCTTTTGCCAAATTAGGTCTGCGTTTTCGCCGATTACCGCAGCAGTGGTCATCTCCAATGGTTAACAGTCTAATCCAACACTTAACCGCTCCACATGTTTACCAGTTGGTGTTTAAATGGGACAAGAGACTCACCCTTTTGACACTTCTCGTAGACTTCGTTTGTGAGGAAGTCATACTTGAACTGCCCTGCCTCACACCTGAAACCCAAAGCACAGCACCAATTAGTCACGTGGAAACCTCTTAGTTCTAACTACTCGTGTAATTGTGTTGTGCTAATTCGCCTCCATCAGCTCTGTCACCGAACGCTGATAGTCAAACCCTTACGAAAATCCGTTCTGACCTCCTCTAATGTACGTTTGTGACTCGTTTATGCACACAATTTTGATTGCACACGGACACAAAACACACAAATGATTTGAGTTATTTAACCAATATTAGTCTCCGGTCTCCTCATTCGCTCTTAAGTTTCTGTATTACATGATCTAAACTCGACTAGTGGACGGCGATTCGAGACCCGATCGAGTGGTTCCTACATGACCAATCGATTCGACTCAATACTACAGCACTTTTTTCCAACTTTGTGAATTGCTGGTGAAATCATACTGTGTCAACGCTGTTTACGACGACCGATTGGCACTACCCTAAGCAGAACTTACGTGTCACAGTTTGGTCCTTCACACGCACCGCACTCGAAGTCAGGTCCGCTTGGGTCCAGACGCACCGCAGTCGACTTTGACAAATCAGTGCAACCCTAGACGAACAAATAATCAGTAGTAGCCGCAAAAGCCTTCTGTGTAGGGGCAGTACGTGTTTGATTAGCGAAAGGCACTTTAGACAAACCTCTGTCTGCGAAATGGGTTTTAGATTTGCAAAAGTATCAAAACTCATTATTGCTATTAACTACAACTAGTGTCCTCTTTTCCTTACCGCGTAAGTTACGTTCTCTAGTGGCAGGCAGAAGCGCAATATACATCTTCAACAACTACGTTTAAACTGCTTGCATTTGTAAACTCGATATTTTAAGGGGGGGGGAGGGGAACCAAAGGCATCGTACATGAGGCTCCTCTATCTCACCTCGCAACTTGGGGAGAGGCTTCTGCCGCCATGGCCTTCACAGTCGCAGACTTCTACAGGAGCCGCTCGCAGACCCTCAGCTGCAGCGACGTCGTCGGTGAAGTCCCGGGCAAGTTCAAAAGACAAGCCTCCGATTCGTGCATTTTCAAGGCCGTTGTTAGTGGCCATAAGGGGAATGCCAATGGAGCTGGCTGTGCCCAGCACACGGAGTAGAGCTGCTCGAGACAGGACATCTTTGTGCAAACGCCAGCCATGTTTCCACCAATCTTCGCTGAACACGACTTCGTAGCGCTGTGTTTTAGGATTGAAATTGGCGGTCGTCCAAGCAGTGCCGAATTTAGGCGACTAAAAGAGCAAACGGCGCCAGGTTTGAATAGCTCTCCAAATAATTCTTTTAAATTTACGTGCTAATTAATCCTCGTGGCTAGGGCTATCAGAAATGTACAATCTGTGAGGAACCATTTCCCACCAGGTGGGGAAATACTGTGTTTCTGATGCTTCAATAACTCAAATCAGCTGCAACCTCACGTCAGCCAATTACTTCTGTATCCGTCGCTTCGAATGCTCGTATTTCGATGACAGCTGTCCTTTGGTTACAGTAATAACTGCAAGAATGTTCGCAAACGAATGAACGCCGATTTAAACGACAGGGAGTTGCGGAGCACTTACCTCGATTGTGACAACTACTTGGTTTTCTTTCCCGGTACGCTGCGGTTGCGCTCGTTTGAAACGGAACGACATCTTTCCACCGTACAAATACCGCTGAAGGCAATAAAAAAGTTACATTTTAAATGAACCAACACTGCCCAACCATTTAAGGGAGCTCATGGTGATTTCCTCTTTTGGTCTTAGTGTATTATGTTTCTCAATTTCTAACAAGGAATGAAGGGACACCTCAAGGCTTCTCATTTCTCCGTTTAGCTCGATGTAATTAACCCCAAACTATCGTCTCCTTTCTGTATCAATGAAGAATCTGTGTATTCGGAAAGTGATTAAGCGTTTGCAATGTCGTAAAATACACAATCACATTTCTAAGTGAACCAAGGCAACACGGAAACTTACATAAACAGGTAGATCGGATTTTGTGGCGCCACGTTGAGTGTCCATGAGCTTGATTGTGACTTGTGAGATGCCATCTCGGGCCAGGGGTTCACGAATAATCAAGTCCTCGGGGGGGCCGAACTTGTGCACATTCGACACCGCGTGGACCCGTTCTATTCTGGCCTTGTCAGCACCACTCAATGGCACCGCGGCTAGCTCCCCATTGGCTAATTTCCTTGACATGAAGACGTCAAACTTGTATCGACCTGGGTTAGCCTAAAGGTCATTCAAACAAATTGTCAGGTCGATATCATCCTACGCATCGCTTAATTAAGGGTAATTGACTTCAGGGCCTGTGAATCTCAACCTCACATGACTAGAATGATAAATCTGTTAATGAAGGAATGAAAAACACTACTGCAATCTGCGCTATTTCGCCATAATAATAAACACGTATGGGCCAATTACTGTGAATAGACGAAACCGGTATCAAGTCAGTGCATCGTGTAAACAGCGCCGAACACCTAAAGTAATCTTTTCTCTTGCACATATTCAAATGTCTCATCACTAAGCCCCTGTTTTACAAACCGGGTCTGTTTGCGAAGCACTTAGATCCAACTTCCAATGCAATATTTCACAACGACATCTTATATCTGCACGAGGAACTGAAGGAACTCCAAATTTGAAGTCACGGCATTCGCGAGAGAAGATACAAGTGATATGACGTTAAAGAAGGGCGCACTTACGAGGGAGATATTTTCGAAGAAGTGAACGTCAGAGGCCCTGCAGGACTTGGTTGTGCCAGCACAGTAGCACGGCAGACACTTGTCACCAGACTTCATGAATCCCTCAGAACACTCTCTGCATTGTTCACCCTCGTACCCGTTCTAAGTTGTAGCAGAAAAACAATGATAAAACTACTAGGATCGTCCTTTTATGGCTACAACTTAGGCATACATCTACGGCACTCACCTTACACACACAATTTTCCTCAGGAGTGATGCTTTCAGTGCCCAGTGGGTTACAGAGAATAAGCAACTCCGAGCGTTCGTGACACTTTGCTTCGGGCGGCGGAGAGGTGGACTTGCAGAGGTCGCAGGCCTCCTCCACTAATCGCCCGTCCTCTTTCACCTCACAGCGACACCGGTAACCATCGGGAGACTCGGAATCCGCCACGCACTCTTTACTGATGCTACAAAATGAAACCGTCGCATCATCTTGTTTCTTGCACATGTGGAGGTTGTTTTATTCTGGATTTTACGATATCCAGATACCGCTTTGAGTAATCACAACCACTTTTACGTGTCATTCCCACGTAAGTCACACACACACACACACACACACACATATATATATATATATATATATATATATATATATATATATATATATATTTGGGACAAATCATCACTTG